ATATATTCTTTCTTGCACAGTTTGATTTTTCCAGTGCAACCATGTTTTTTTTTTCCAATTTTTAAGTCATATTTAACAATTTTTTTAAGACAAATATTTCATAGTAAAAAATCTATCAAATTGACACTAATACTTCACTTGACTAAACTACGAATAATCAATTCCTAGCTCGGAAATTCTGAGATTTGAGGCCTATATTATTATTCTGAATAAGTAAATGTGAAATGTTATTTGAATACATTTTATTTTATTATGCTATTATATTATTTACTTCATATTGTGTATAAAGTTATTATAGTTAATATTTATAATAAAAATAATAAAAAAAATAATGATGAATTAAAAAAAAAAAGAAAGGAAGTCAATGGCCAAACTTTAGTAATGACGAGAATTAAATTTTTAGTATCTTTGGTTGAACAGAAACGTGTTATATTACAATTTTTTGGTATAGTAAGAGTAATTAGATAATTATAATAAGTACTAACAAAAATCTATATAAAAATTATGATAATTTAAGTGATAACAAAGAGCATGATTGGTCAACTTGGTCACCAGCTTTATTAAGAAAACCACCACATCTAAGCTTAAGAATAGATAGTATAAATACATACATTTGCTGCATCTACTTTTGGTGACACATCTAATAAAGTAATATTAAAATAATAACTCGAAATACATATACGAATTTATATTTAACAATTTTTTCAAATTTAATTTACATATCTTACCTTCAAATCGAAATCAATAATGTGAAAAGTACCCTTTTTAGTTATGAAATCTGTACACTTATTTTTTAAAAACATTCATACTACTGTTTTCATGAAATAGATAGGTATATTGATATAGCTACATACAGTGCTAGAAGTGGGGGAATACGAAGGGATAGCATCCCTCCTAATATTTGTATTTTAAAATGATATACTTATTATCATTTTTATATTTATATATAAGAAATTATTTTTTATTTGGTGAAAATAATTGTTTTTAACATTAAGGTGTACGGCTTATCGTGTTGTTTAGTATAAGCTGTTTTGCAACCTGTATTTAGAGCCACGGACTAAGATAATATACGAACTATAACAAAAAAATATATTATAGGTACAAAAGGTGTAAAGAATGTTATATCTTGTATATCAGCATAAATAATGTCAATTACTTTATATTCATTACCATATATGTAATATTTGGATAAAATCTTATTTAAAATTGTTTTACCTATCTATTGTACAAAAATATTAGCAAATTTACTTTTTGTTGGATTAAGAGGCCTCAAATTCAATAAAAATAAAAATTTATAGACCATAAATCAGTAATAAAATTAAAATTTCATTTGAAACTGATATTTGTTAAATAATTTCTAAAATTGTACACATTTAAATATCTCAACTGTTGATTGTAGGGAACACCTTGGAAGATGATCATATAGAGAATATGTCAACTATAACTTAGTTAAAATAAACTTTCAATACTTTAATAATAATAAAACAAAGAAAAATAATCCAAGGGTTTAAATGCTAGATTATTAAAGATTCATATAACACTAAGGGCCAGTACACGCGAACGATTATTTATCTGGCGAAATTTTTATCTTATTAAAATGTTATCATACGATATTTAAAATTACATGGATATAAATAGTTGTTCATATAATAATGATAAAAAAATTGTAAGATAAAAATATTGTACGATAAAAATATGTCAATAAAAATGTACAAAAATAAACTGATTAGAATACACAAACGATAATTATTATTCTAAAACATTAAGTTTATACATAGTATCCACTTTTTCGGAGGATGATAGCGACAGCTCTACTGGATCCAAATCACCATCAAAATCAATAAAATTGGCGGATGAGATTTACAAATCAATATTGATATTTTCACTAGTGAAGTCCAAGCAAGAACCCACATTTTTCGACTTTTCTTTTTTTTTTCTTTAATAATAGATCATATCCCATATATAAAATTATAATATCATTCATTATTATTAGTTTATGTTAAAAATATACATTAATGTAATGATATATATATATATATATATATATATATATATTAATGTGCATAAGAAACTGTACACACACAACATGCAACAAAACATACATACAATACATAGTCAATAATGACTTTATAATCTATAAATTAATTTATTAACTTTTAGGTTGTCCAATAAAAAGTCGGTTGTATGTCATAAACATACCTCCTGTCGTATGATAAAATTTTAATACAGTAAAAATGTCGTCCTATAAATAATCGTTCGTGTGTACCGGCACTAAAATAAATCAATCTCTCATGCTGTGTCTATACTACAGTAAATACTCCATAAATAGAGCTAACAAATATATGCAATATATTTAAAAAAAAAAATGTATTTAATAATACTACAGACATGCATTCAACAATTTAATAAATAAATACTTTGGCATAACAAAACTTAAAAATTAATACATCAAATAAAAAGAAAATATATAATTTTAACATAGACATGAAACACTATAAAGAAATAAAAAATTTTGTAATATAAATACTAAGATAGTACATAACATATTTAAATCAGGATACAAGATATAATTCATGAAAAACTAAGAAAATCACATCATCGCTGCAGAAGACTATGCTTAACATCATTTAGAGAAACGAAAAACACCATTGTTGTTTTAAAGATTTAAACATACACAATGGTTTTTAACGTTCCTTAAAGAATGAAAGCCATTGGCGCTGGAGGATACAATAAAATTAATCAAACTATTTTATAAGATACTATAATATCTCACCTTGTGTTTTGTAAAAATCATCAAACACGTTTTGTAATTTTTTTATACCACGTCCAGCAACAGCCCAAGACACACCGTAAATCCTATTCTCGTATTTAGATGTTTTTGTGATACCCAATGACAATTTTACTTCAGCTAACTGTCCCATTAGATGAATCAACAGTTTCGTTTTTGAAAATTTGACTATCCGTTATTGTGGCAACGGCGATAACAGTTTGAAATACCTATAGCAGAACAATAAGTCAAGCGATTTAACTCTGAGAAAAAAAAAACTGAATTTTTAATATAAACATGTGTGGACGCAGGTCAACACATGTATTCTCCACAAGCGACAATAATATAATACAAGGGGAACAAACGTACTTGCCGGTGTGCCGATCAAAATAACGGACGCGGTTATGCGTCGAAAAGACTTATTAATATTTCTGACACTTGACTAGTGCTAGTTAATGATTTCCTACAATCGGCGGGAATGTTCTATTGTCTTCAAAAGAGTCGAAGCGGGAAAAACGTGGCAAGCACACGCGAAACGGACGCACGTCGTGAATACAGTGAGGCCGAGCGGTTCGTGGACCATGTTAAGGCGCGAAAAATAGAGACTACAAGATCCGTTGTCGCGATCACGGATCAACTGCGTACTTGTGGATCGTCCACGGTGCATACACTGGTGATAATAAATGTCCGTTTATCAAACATCACTAAACGCGCGCAAGCGTTAGGCCGCGCGCACATTGTGTACGAATTTGTTTCGTACGAAAACGTACGAATACTGGTCGTACGAATTGATTGCGCACATTGAATACGTTTTTTTCCGTAAATTTTATTTAATTTATTCATTTATCCATTGCCGGCGTACGAACGTTAATGAAATCCGGACAAGTTCGGATTGTTTTCGTACGTCAAAGTTACACGTACGTATACGTACGAACAAATCGCACCAAGTCTGCGCGCTCACATAGTATTTGGTAGATCGGGATCGTTCGTGCGTGTACGTACAAGTTCGCACGAATCAAATTCGTACGAAAACGCATTCAATGTGCGCGCGACTTTATCCAACACGGAACGCCACAGTCGTTAATCATTTATTAATAATAATAATAATTATAATAATTAGTTTACATGATTAGTTAATATGATCGAAGGTCGTGGCATTCCAGCGTTTCTTAACCTGTGGTCCGTGGCTCCCTTAAACTGCGGTACTCATGTCGGGAGTCCGCGGCACCCTTAACACATGACATAGGTATGTCAGTACGTGACATGAGTGCATTATTACAATATTGATGGATTATTACTATTATTTTTTCATATAATATATTTTATTATATAAGAAATTGATCTTATCTTTATTATGATGTTCAAAAACTTATGTCTCAAATGAAATACCAACCACTGCATTTAGTAAATAAAAATCAAATTTTAAGGATATATAAAAAAAAATAGGAACTAAAATAATTAAATTTAAATTAAGTGAATAATTAGTGTAATAAAAATAATTATTAATACGTATGTTTTGTTATGTCTACTTAAGTAATTTATTGTATAAAATAATTATTATAATGTTGGTTTTGATAACTTAAGATGTTTTATAAAAAAAAATGTATTCGAAAAAAAATTGGTAAGGGGGTCCGAGATTTCTAAAAATCTATCATCAAGGGTCCGTATTAGCGCATATGCACTATAAGCACTGCGTCTAGGCCCTACAAACATTTTTGGGCCTACGAAAATGTGTGGCTACGATTTTTTTGTAGTATGTAAATTTGTATAAAAAAATTTTTTTATGGTTTTTGACTATTTATATTACCTATATATGTTGTAGATTAAAATGAATTTTTTTTTAACATTTTTTAAAACGTTTATCGTATAAAAATGTATAATAGTTATAATATTAAAGTTTAGATTTGATTTTTATGTTGTAAATATTATTGCTTTTAAAAGCTTATTACTGCATGAGAATCTACACTTCCTCTCACAAAGAGAAAGTTCCTTAACCATTTAAATACTGGACAACGACCCTGCAAGGACTAAGAGCCTACTATAGTATTAATCCGGGCTTGTCTACATGAAATTAAGAACCGCTGCTATATACGATCGTAATAGTATTTGGTCGTGTCCAATGTTCGGATATTCGCGCTATAGCGCTATAGCCGCGTCCGACATTAGGATAACCGACCGAATGTTCGTGTCTGAGGTCCAGGTGTTTCCCATAGAGCTCTATATGAGTTAAAAGGTGTTTCCGTGTTAATTGGTGATGTTACATGAAATTGTCGTCCTAAATTTTGTCGGAACAGATGTGATCAGGATAATTTTGATTTAATTTCTCGAACGTTTGGTGTTATCATCGCAGAATGAATTAAATTTATCATCGTCGTCGTTGTGATAACGTTGCATCGTCTATATTTTGACGATCAACAATAACGTTATACTGAACAATATTTTCGTTTTGGTTATTTTTTTTAATTACCATTTCCTTAGCGTACGTCGTACATTAAATTTAGAAATATGTTTCAGCAATCGAACGTATGTATACGCTGTGATATTTGTCATCGATAATTTCTTTTGTCGACGAATTAAATGGTATATTTTCATTGACTGCATTCATTCCACTGAGTAATTGATTTGTCTTCGAATTCCAGTCCTCTATTATGTTTTGTTCTTAATTAAGCTATTTTTTCGTTGGCTAATATTAAAATGTGGCAACAGCAAGCTTTTGTCTTAGATTCCAAATTCAATGCGTATAGAGCTTCGAACCATCCAAATTTCAGTAAGTTATACCGTTATAAATAAGTAAACAAATTTATTAACACCCTTTGAACAGCAATTCATTATAAGTACACTGTACATATTTTGGTTGACAAAATCTAGTTTGACATTAACCAATAGATTTTCACTTGCACTAAATTCTGTGTCTATCGTCCTAACAAACTCAATTTGTTAAATTTTTATTTATTAATTTAAAAAAAATAAGAAAATTAATTGTCCACCTAATCCTGCAAGGTATTTTAAACAACTGTAAAAGTTATTAGAGTTTTTTTTTCTTAGTAAAAAGTGTATTAAAATACAACTATATAAATACTTTTATTTACCTGTTGCATGTTAATAATTCTACAATTTCTTCTATAATTATTTTTACATAGAATATTTAAACTTTATTTAAATACAATGTATATTAACATTTATATTAATATTGTTTATAATATTTAAATAACTATGTTATTACAAAAGTATGTTAGTTATTATCACTTGAAGTTTTTATTTTTATATAAAAATAGTTGGGCATATTTAATCAATTTAATACCATTATTTATATATTTCATTAGGTATAATAATCCAAAATCATAGTAATATTTTAGGAACAAAAATATGTACATAACATTGAATAAAAGGTTTATTTAAATACATTATATAAAATAATAAATTACTGCATGTTGGGTATTTATACAAACTATCAAACAATAAAAAAAATGTATTTAATAATGTATTTATTAATTATGAGTATATACCTACATGTTATTGAAAAATAATTCTATTTAATAAAGAAATTGATTTTTTTCATAAAAATTTTAAATTATTATTTTTATAATAGGAACACTATACATTAGAAGAAGAAGTCAGCTTCTCCGAGAAAAGTCTAAGCAAGATGTTAGTTATAATACTGTTTTATTTTTGTTATTATCTATAAATTGTATTTTATATTTTAGGATATGATTCCAAGTAATACAATTAGAAGAAAATATTTACGTATTAGATCATCAATTTTACAAAACAGATATAATATACATTTTGATATGCAGTCTAACAGTGCCTGTAGTCAAAGTACTAGTTTGGTAAATATTTTTATTTAAAAAAATAATAATAACCGAGTTGTAAGTTACATCCTGAAAGTAAGATTACAACACTTATGTAAAATTAAAAAATGTTAAATTTTAATAAAACTTACAGAATGTATCACAAATATAACAAATTATTTTTCTTCATAACCACTTTCATTTTCGCAGTCAGGGAACCAGATAGGGGAGGCCAGTTTGTTTACTTGTGTCATAGACTTTTTCTGGGGCGGACTGATACAATTGATGGGAGGGCGATTACATTCTGGGCCATTAAGATTTTTTGGGTCCTTGAAAATATAATGGACTCTTGTGTCAGTACATCACACATTTGAAATATTAATAATAATCTTAATTTAGCTACCTATATGCTATTCATTTTACTTAATATATAAATTTACTCAACATAATATATAATATATACAGCTAACTATATTTCACGACACTCTCCCCACTTGTAATGGGTTTTCACAATGGTTAAGCATTGTTCAATAGTGAATCTCTCCATGACGATAAATGCAAAAATGCAAATGCTTTGAGGTAGAAAATGAAGGATGTTATAAGAAAAACATTGAAACAGTGCTTTTAACCCAAAAATAAAAAAATTACGGCGTTTTTAAAATGTACGCTTCTGTTTGGATACCCTTTTAATGAAGTCTATGCAAGTACCTATTATTATTAGTAATATACATGTATTATTTTATAAAATCATTGGTAGGTGTTTATAGTGGTTTAATTATTTATTCATATGGCTTGACAGCAAATCAACATTATAACAAATTAGATAAGATAAAATTATGAAGATATATCACATGAATAGTTTATAGTGATTATTGACAGTATTTCAATAATTTACGAAACATTTTCAATGATATTAATAAAACATGAATGAACACCAGTTTTGAATATATTTTATAAATTTTAATATTAAATGATTCATTCTTTTACAAGAAAAAGGATAATACTAATGCTGATGTTATTTTTGACTTAAATATTTTCTGATACTTATATACTGTGTAATACATTTTTAAAATATAAATAAAAAAAATTACCCTCCCCCACCCCCTCTTAATACGCCTAGCTCCTTTTATTATATCTAGGGCTAGTATCGGTCTAATAAAGGGCCTTTATTTATGATCGCCCGAGCCCATCTTTTACTCCAGTCCGTCTCTGGACTTCCCTTGCCAATTCCTTAAACCATCTTCTCATCGTTTGCTTAACTTCGTTGTCGATGGAATGAAATTTTCATCCAGAATTTTTTTCGATTTAGTGAACAGATGATAATCTGTGAGTGCTAGATATAAAGGGAAGGTTGAATAAGGGGAGTGGTTGATGATGTCCCACACAAATTAAGTAAGCAGCTCTTGAGAAATTCACGTTATGTGGTGCCTGGCGTTATCGTTAAGAAGACAGACTCTTATGCTCAATATTCTTCTTCAACGGTTTTGAATGTATCTCCTTAACTTTTTTAGAGTGTTACAATACGATTCAGCATTAATGATATGATCTGTAGTTATTAAGTCAACCAGAAGGACTTCCTTACGATACCATATTACTTGCCATTTCGCACTTTTTTTCGATTTTTCGCATAAGTTCGTACGAAATGACTGACGGTCTCCTGTTTCTTTCTTCACCGTGAGTGTCAGTATGACCTTCCTCGAAGAACCTAATCCATTTTGTAATATACTATTAACTCATTACCATAAACTTCCATAAGTTCCCAACTGATACTCTAGGTGCTATTGTTTTGAAAAATCAAAAAACAAATGATCTTGCACGACCGGTAAGTGACGGGGCGCACGTCATCCTATCGATCTTAAAATTTTACCATGAAAACACGAAAATTACAACAGAGACGTGTAGCCTTTCAATCAAATCGTTACCATCAACGATATAAGTAATAAACGTTTGTTATATATGTCTCTGTTACAATCATGTACATCATAAATTGACATTCATGCCAATTTTGAAAAAATGTACTCGGGTCTACGGAACTTTTGTCTTCTTTGAATTTAATGAAGACCTTTGTAGTTTTTCTACCGAAAAATAAAACTTTAAATCAATAAGTTTCATAAAAATTTTAGTTTACTTTGACTTTATTGAATGTTTTTAAGTTATAACATTATCATTACTTTCATACATTTTATAATTCTTAAAAATATTATACATATTTTAGACGATTTCAATTTTAAATAATTTGATTTTTTGATTTTTAACAGATGAGTTTAAATAAAGAAAAACAATTAGAAGTGGATTTATTACCTCGAAACTATGATTTTTTATCATCACCTATTCCAACCACTCAAGCTCAAGCTTCTAGAGCTATTGTTGGAAATAATACAATTGAAGAAAACTATGCATTCAATAATGTTCACCATATTTATGATCAGGTACTTTTTATATTCCATGATTATTTTTTTTTTGATAATTAACAGAAATCATTTGATTAATTTATTGTTGTGTGAATTAGCATTCAGATGCAGTAACAGTATTGAAGTTTGCAAATAATGATAAATCAAAATTATGCTGTGCATCAAACGATGGAACACTCAGTATTTGCGATGTTTTGACTTCACCACCTTGTGTTAAAGCTATACTAAGGTATCATACTGGTCCAGTTACTGGTAAGATAATATTATTTATCACTGATGTATTTTTATAAAATTTGAATTATTTATCGAGGGACAAATTAATTTTTTGAAGGTTGTGATTGGTCAGCTTCAGATGAATTGATTGCTAGTTGTTCTACTGACTCAACAATTTGTTTTTGGGATGCGATTCGTCATTGTTGTTTAAGATGTGTTAGTGACCCTTTTTATTCATCGGTATTGGTGTGTGTATTTAATCCTATCAACAACAATATTCTTATAGTATGTTATTTTTATTATTATTATAACTTATTATTATTTAGAATTCATAATTGAATTGAATTGATATCTGTAGACTGGAAACAAAGCTGGATTTGTGTGTGTATTAAATGTGTCAACGGGTATGTACCCTAAAGGTGGAAAGTACAAAATCGGTGGTCAAATTTTATCTTTAGCTGTTAATAGCAGTGGAAAAATAATATGGGTTGGAAATGATAAAGTAACTATTATCTTATCAATCTAATAATGTAAATGATAATATTCAGTATTACATTTTTTTTTATAAATTGATAGAGCGAAATATTATCACTCAAACTAAACAACAATGATAGCATTGTTCTAACTAAGTGTCATCGGATTTTAACATCTCCAAATCGTGGCGCAATAACTTGTCTGAGTTGGAAATCATGGATAAGTCGAGAAGCCAGAGATCCAATGTTATTGGCAAATTGCGCAAATAATATATTATGTCTTTACAAGTTAGCAAAATTAAATTGCTTTGAAATAATTAATAAATTGTAATGTTATTGTTAAATAATTTAGAGTTTGTGAAAATGATGGTGGTTCATTGTGTTTAAAAAAAAAGTTTTTGGTTCCTCACGCACACAGTAATCATTTGTTGCGATCAACATTTTGTCCTATCATGTCATTCAGGCAAGGTGCTTGTGTTGGTATGTGTTGTACTGTTTTATTACCTTTAATTTATCATATTAAAATATTAAATAATTTTGCAGTCACAAGCAGTGAAGATTCTTCTGTTTATTTTGTGGATGTAGAAAGAGATTCAAACTATGCTGTGAACAGATTACAAGGACATGCTTGTGTTACTTTGGGTGTTACATTTAACTATGATGAGACTATATTAGCAACAAGTGATATTCAAGGGATAATTATTATTTGGTCTCGACAATGTCAAAAGCAACAAATTTTATAATAATTTATTAGATGTAAAACAAATTGTTATCAACATTAATAAAATTCTAAACAATTTTAATATTAAGATAGTATAAAAATTTAATACTTCTAATGAAATAAAAAATATAGATAGCAATTTTGTTAAAATTTTTTAATTGTTATAAACAATTGCATAAACACTATTGTCAGTGGTAGTTATATGAGAAGCACCAATGGGTAGATTACCCTTATCCTTTTTGAGCTGTTATATTTTATTTAAATTTGAATTAAACAATTGAACTTCCTTAATTAATTTATATTTAATAATAAGGAATACAGATTGTCTAAATATTTAGCTTCAATTATCCCTTCTATTATTCTATATGATAGTTCATTTTCATGTCTCAATATATGAACCATCATGTTCCGTCTTGTTCAGATGGATTTTGAGTATCTTTGTTCATCTATTTCACTGAGTATGTTTTCATTGGACCAGTGTTCTATCCAACTCACTCTCTGCATCCTTCTTTAACACCACATTTCGAAGCTTTTGAGCGTTCCCTATGATTTCCAATGTTCCCTATTGTTCCCTATAATATTATAATATACTTCCATGCATATAATTTGATCAATATTGCAATAAGTTATAGCTGTATATTATACCATTAAATGTATAGGAAAATATGAATTCTGTTAAATTGAAGTTATTTTATCAATTTAACAGAATAAATGGTGTGATTAATGATTTTTCTACTGTATATAAATAAAATAACATTTAGTTTCAGTACAAACAAATGTATCGTAATTTTTTTAGAATTAAATTAACAACATACTTAAATGCTATAGGTTTTTACAACTCATAAGCAAAAAATACTTTTATTAATAATCTATAATTAATTAAATAATACATAGGTTTGAAACATTTTTGAGTTTTTGAATCGATACCAATATAATAATTCATTAATAATTCAAATTTAATACTGTTGCATTTACATGACATGTAATAACTTAAAACAAAAATGAACAACCTTTTCCAAAATTGACACTATAAATAAGTTTACATATGTATAAGCTGTATCCATTTAATGTTATTTTATTAGAAGTTAAAATAGATTATAAAATTAAAATAAATAATTTAAAACAATTTTTAATATACCAATTTTACAAACATTTACACTATTTTAAATAGTCTAACCATAATATTAACAATCTATTACATAGAAATATTGTATAAGATGATATATTTATTGAATTATTTAAATACCTTAGTTTTGAATAATTTTTTAATTATGTAAGCAGTTTGTATAAAGATAGCTATAGAAATTGAAAATGAATTAACAACAAATGTGAAACTTTAGCCTCCCCTCCCCCATATAACCATTAATTGCATTTGTAAGCTTAAAACCAATCTAATAATATATTACAACATGGAATATACTATAATTCTAAGTAATGTATCATTGATAATTTGTATTTTTTGAAGTATAAATCTTATAAATAATATTATCTATAAAATCATCTATTTCCAGATAATTTATTCAATAAATATGTAATTGATTAAGTGTATTTATATTTATATTTTTAAATATTAAAATCTTAAGTTTAAGACAATATTAACTACATTAAATGGATGCAACATATATTTTTTAAAGCATAAAGACAAAATTACAAGTAGGTATTTAAAATATAATATTTACTTATAAATTATTTAAAATGCAATAAGCTATTAAAATTTTACAATATAAATTATTTTTAATGTTAATTATTATATATATATATTATAAATAATTAATACATATTAGTTATTTTTAACGATATATTTTTATATACACGAAATAAAAAATTATGAAACTAATATGAATCAAGCATTATTCTTTTAAATTGACGTGTTTAGCACTGCAAATTATTTTTAAATAAATTGTGAGCTAATTCAATAATTGGTAGTAAAAAAATTGGCATAAAATTTAAGCACCAATATTTTAATAAAATAATTAAGTATCAGCTTTTATTAAAATGTATAAATATATTAATTTAATAAAATTCAATATTTAAATATGATTTAACAAGTATATCATTTAAACAAATTATGAAATCAATTTATTTATATTACTATGTATTACTCATAAAAATTAAAAAGTAAAATGTATTGTTAATTATTTTAAAACGGTATATTGAAGAAAAAATGTATATTACTCTATAATACTATTATTATAAATAAATTATTAGATAGTACAGAGTATCTCAGAAAATATTAGTATAAAAGATTTTACAGTGATTTCAGAGCTTAATAAAAATCTAGAACTTTTAATAATAATTAAATCTTATAAATTGATAAAGTATTTGAAATATACATTTTATAAAAGGAAATACAAAAAGAAAAATACATATAAATAAATAATTTCTATTGCACATTTTAAATACTTAGGTAAATTAAATATAAGTTGAATTTTAAAAACAAGAAATACAATTAATAAACTATAGAAGACATAAGTTAAAAGGATGCCACACAATGTATTTTGATGTCTTGCAAACGAAAAACGTAAATGAAACATTTTCATGAACATTTAATGATCAAACCTAGGTCAGAGATATGGATTAGGAACAAACTATTAAAAATTGAAAGAAACATATTAAATAGCACTTCAGTCTTTTTTCTAAAATACTAATAAATAGTTAGGTACATTACTCTAAATAATTTCGAAAATGTGAAATCAAGCAATATGTTAATTATAGCTAATATATAAAAAATTGTAAGATTGCTTATACAATTATTTTTGTACTAAAGGCAAAAAATAATATTCAATAATTTATATATGATCAATTTATGCAAAAGTTTTCACAAGATTACAAGTATGAAGTACAGTATAGTATGACATCCTTTTAAGTGTCACTTACAATTATAGAAACCTGGAATGCCTTTGATATGTTTCCCAGCGTGCATCATCAGATTCGTGAGTTAAAAACCGAACACCATTTCCAGTAGACTTTTCAAGTTCTCTTAAATCACACCACGTTTGATAATCCTAAACATTTCATTAATTATGAAGATAACATAATAAATACATTTAAACAATTAATTACGCTTTTAAGCAGAATTTAGTATCCAATACATTTTCTTCTAATGGACTTGTACAATTTTTTTGTTACAAAATTCTTCTGATACCGTAATATAAAAATGAATACATTTTAGATAAAATATAGATAAAAAATTTAACTGAATATTATTATATTTTTGTTATCATGTACAAATTCATTTTTATTTTGTTATTTTAGTTGATATATATTAATAAATAAAAGAAAAAACAATTGCAATACATCTAGGTCAGGAGTGAATCCATAGTCGCGCGATGTATAGAATGATCTAATTGTATTGGCTTTTTATACTTTAAATCAATGTACCATTGCTCTCGGAAAAAAAACTTTTCTGAGTAAAAGAGGTTTACTTGATTATTATTAATTTAATATAATTTAATAATAATTTAATAATTATTAATATTATGATATTAATTATTTGTTATTGATATTAAATAATGATTGGATAGATTAGTTTATATTTCTAAAGTTTGTTAATATAGTAGAAGAAATAATTTTCTTAATAATTTTTAATGTTCTAACTTTTGTTAAAAAAGGGTACATGAATTTGAGAAAACAAAAAATTTCAAGTGCCTATAACAACCCAAACTTCATTACAATACTTGGAAACTCTTTAAACTAACTAAATAACGAATATAATTTAATTTAAATTCGTTAAAGTTTCCGATTTCGTCATCATTGCATTTTATAACGCTTTTAAATATTTTTTGCAAAAAAAAAAAAAAAAAATTATATGAAAAATCTTATTTTTAATCTTAAGTATAAAAATTTAAAAAAAATATAAAATTTTAAATACAAAACAGGGGATTTTCATAAATTTTTATTCTTTTGTTAAAATTTAATACTCAAACATTATTATTATTCTTTTTTAATCAGTAATAAATACAGAAGAGGAATTTTGTAGAAATATTTTAAGACCAATTTCAAGTCATTTTTCAAAAAAAAGCTAAAAACTTGAAAATTTCAATTCCTAATAAATAAAAAATAAAATTTTATTTGAAATTATACTATATATAGCAAATGATGATATGTCATATCTCTACGATTATTAGTTTTTGAGTTATATTGGAAACAAAAAATCATTTTAATAAATGCTGCTTTTTTTCACAATTATTAAGAAAACTTTTGGGAAATTTATCCTTCTCCAAAATAATAATAAGATAAAATTTCCTGTTAGAAATTTCTTATAATTGTCTTGATTAGAGTAATCATTCTGGTCAAAATTGGGTACACAGACAAAAAAAAACATAATTTTAAAACTTATATTCCTCATTTCATACAGAATGTAAAATACAAATATAAGACCTTTAATAAAATTTTTTATTTTTAACCTTTGGGTAATTAAAAACATTTGCTACTATATTTACCTGTAACCATACATGTGCTAATGATTTGTCAACTGTAAATCGTTTTCTTTGTTTCACTTGTAATAAATTTGTTATAAGATCAATAGCTGAAAACAAATAAATAAAAAAATTAAACGATTTATTGAGTAAATTAATTTAAATATTTTTTAGTACCATCATGTGATATTTCTTTCCACGGATTTCTAGGATACATAAAAGCAGCATTTTGTATCTGATCGTTGATATCTTCATCTTCATTAAATGGAAAAGTTCCACTGAGACTCACATAAACTATAACTCCAACACTCCACATATCCAAGGATCTATTATACCCTTTATTCCGTAAAACTTCAGGTGCTAAAATTATATTATGAATTCAAAATAAACATTTTAAAATTAAGTTTGAAAAACATTTTATATAGACTAACCAAGGTAAGCTGGAGTTCCAACTACTGACCGTCTAAAAGATTTTTCACCAATTATTCGAGCGAATCCAAAATCACATAGTTTAACTTGTGGAAAATCAGAATTTGAACTAAGAAGTACATTCTCTGGTTTTAGATCACAATGAACTATATTTTTGCTATGTAAATGTTTTAGCGCTATTAATATCTAAAAATAATAATAAAATAAATAAATTTTCAAACAACCTAAATTATTTTATGTAAATAATATAATGTTAAAACATAACACTAAATTTATTTAACAATTTAATTGATCTAATATTTTGCATAGTATTGAAATTTGAAATTTAATTAATGACAAAATAAAATAAAACTCCCAGTTGTTTCACAAAAACATTATATGTTATATGAAATTAGAAGATTAAAACGACCAAAGGTATAACATTTTAATAAGTTTTGTAGTTTACTGTATTATTTTTTTCAAAACAGTATGAATTAAAAATAATATTATTGTTAATCCATAGCTATAAAATAAATTTCCATAGCTAATGTTTAATATGTAGTCAATAATATTCACAAAACACATATTGATGACACTTGATGTACATATATAATTATCATATTATGTTCAAAAATAGTAATCTAGCAATCTAAAAAAAATGCTAGGAAATAAAATACCTGACTTTAGATATAAATCAGTGGCGACTAGTGAGTTTTTAATGAGGTAGTGCACATTTAAAAATTAATTATATATATATGCATGTGTGTGTGTGTACATCAAATTAAAATAATTTTTGAATTTAAATTTAAATTTTTATTAAGTCTTAAATAATGAGAATATTATGAGTTAATAGAAAAAACTAAATAAAAATAGAAAATTTATTTATTTAATTACATTTATTATTTCTATTTTCTTCAACAACAGTGTTGAAAAATGTTACTCTGTTGAAATAACAAATTGAATAATAATTTACCAAAGATTACATGAAACATTACATTTAATTTAATCTGTACTTCTACCTACTTTGCTCAGAAAATATACTCGTGGGGCTGTTTGGCTCCTAAAATAATCCAATTCAAATATATTTTTACACCTAATTTTAAAATCTCAATTAAAATTTCTTAAATTTTGAAACATAACCTTCATACTACTCAGACCCGTATTTAAAAATTTTGCGCTTCAGGGCATATAATTTATGCCCCCCCCCCAAAAAAAAAAATAAATAATAATAATATAATACTTATTATTTCGTCTATAATCGAAATTTTTTAATATTAAAATCAAACTCATAAACGAAAATCGTTTAATACTTTTTTTAATTAACAAATTAAACAAATTATGACATAATAAAACATATAATTTTATTTTTTTTATTGTCTTATTTTGTTTTTTCATTAAGTACATCATTTTTAAAAATTATTTTGCTAAAATATTTTGCCACCCCTGTGACTTGATGCCCTCGGGCCTGTGCCTAACCATACCCTCCCCCTAAATATGGACCTGATATTACTACTTGCTATTATTATGAATTAATATTTTTAATTTTCAATTTTTTCTGAGTTCGGGTAGGTAGAGCACATGCATACGAGCCGCCACTGATATTAATATATAAATAATCAACTTATAGGTTGTTAGTGGAATATTGATCAACACCCAATAATTATCTTAATAAACTTATTTTTATATTCTGATATTAAATAAAAATAAATAATGAGGATAATAATGTGTAATAAAAATATGAGATAGGGAACACACATTAGGTTACGGGTACAAAACAATAACACGGCAACAATCGCGCGCGGCATAGATAAGATTGAGTAACGACGACGACTGGTCTACTGGTAGATATAGGAAGACGATAACGTTCACTAGTATACTCGATCATTCTTGATAATTTTAAACGATTAAGTTTATGAAATTTTAAACGACCAAGTGTAGGTGATTACTTTAATATTGATTCTCGAATGTCCTCGATAACTTATTAATTCATAAACTTATTAATTATAGGAGAAGATTCGAGAATGCCTATCTCATGTTATTGGTCGTCGCTACAAACTGGTATATTTAATAAAAATATACTAAAGATATTATACGACTTACTTGAGTTATTAAAAATTTGGTAATACGCTCTGATAATCGCCTACGTTCACTGGATAATATCATTTCCAACATGTCGCCTCTTAGTTTTTCCATAACAACGAAAATACGTTCTGCTGTCTCAAACATACAATCTAAATTCACTACACCAGGATGCTCTAATTTTCCAAGAATGGCAACTTCATTTTTTAAAGCTGCTTCTTGTTTTGTAGGAAATCGTAGTTTATCAATGACTTTGATAGCAACTGTTTTACCTGATTTTCTATGTTTACCTAAAATAATAATAATAATAATTTAAATAAAATTATAAAAATTCATAAGATTAAATTATAAGGATAAATTTTATTTATATTTGAAATACATACCACCGTAAACAATACCAAATTGGCCAGAACCCAATACTTCATCAGGAAATATTTGATATAGTTGACTCATGTCTGTTACATTTTGTTGTTGTTCATTTGTTTCCATACCTGAGTGAGATACTAAATATACAGATATTTTAATTTTTGATTTGATTAATAATTCAACATGTATTTAATGTTAGCATAGTCATACTAAGAATTTACTATAGTAAAATCTTTGAATAATAAACATTGTTTATAAATATATCTAATTTCAATTAAAAAATTGAGAATGAGTTGATGTTATGTTTGTGTGAGTGTGTTTTTTAAATTGTTTGCTATAAATATTATGAGTAACCATAAAAAAATTTAAATATTTATGTATTTAATTATATAAAACATATATTGATATTGGCTTTATTTATTTAACAACTTTAATACCTATAACAACACTTTCATTAATCACTAGTATAACTTACAAATCCAAAATATATTTTCATCAAGCAGCACAGAACTTTGAAAATGTTGTGTTCTATTTGAAATGCTATATATATTTTTTTTGCTAGAAAAAAAGTATAATACATTTTAGTTTTGATTTACAATTTAAAATATGAAATATACAATACTTCTAATTTTATATTAGTTGTATAAATTGTATGCACACAGTTAATGTAAAAAAAGGCATAATTATAGTTTTATGGAACTTGTTTTATAAACCAATATAAAAGCTACTACAGATATAAAATATACATGTATATCACAAAATAGAAAACTAATACATATTTATTTCAATTTAAATGAAGGTTAAGCTTTATGACTATAATTAAAAACAATCAAACGAACTTCATATGACAAACTGAAACAGATATTATTATTTTATCAAAGAATATTAAAATCATACTTGAGAGTCTTCATAAAATACCTACACATTAAAATAAATGAATAGTATTAGGAATAATTAGATAATTACCAAGAAAACACTAATCATAAATTATTTTAGATTCCGAATGAAATTAAGAAAATATTGGTATTACTATATATTATTTTATTTCATGCCTCTGTACACGATTTAGACCTGGAGTGTTTCGATCAACTCAATCATAAAAAAGTTCTCTGATAAGAAATGTTATTCACTTTATACTTTAAGGAAGATAATTTTACGAATTTTCCAACCGTTTTATTAATAATCGACGAAAAGCTATGAAAATATATTAATTCAAAAGATAATAAAGTAAAGACATGACATTTTTAACGAATACCTTATGCTATAGATTAGGTGTCTCCAACCTACGGCTCATGGCCAGTTCCGGTTCGTTAAGCTTTTCAAACCGACCTGTCAAATTTACTGATATTTGATCTATACTATTTTAAATCTGAAAATATGTGCACATAAATTGATTTCAATATTAAGCTCCACTTACTTATATGAACAGACGTTTTCAAAAATTAAATACGTCAAATCTAAGTATAAAACTAACTTAAGCAATAAACAGACGTAATCAAAAAACGTACAAACAAGCGACGCTGTTGATTAGAACTACAAAGTTTGATGCAAACTATCAAGAAATTTTAAAATATAAGCAATTTCAATATTTTCATTAAGTTACTTACTCGTACCTCAAAAAAAAAAAACAAATTTTGATTTATAAAATTAAAAAATTAATTTTTTTAATTTTTTTTCTAAAATCTAAATAAATCTTATCTTTTCTTAAAATGTATTACCTCTCTATTTTTCTAAACAATTTTGATCCGTGAATCCAAAGCGTATTTCAGATTTGGTGCGCCATAAAAAAAGGTTGAAGACCCATGTTATGGATAATATGATTTTCAAAAGATTTTTTTTTGAGTTATTAATTGAAAATTTAATTATTAATTCTGTCGATAAAATAATTTTAAGTTAGGCAAAAAGTCTTAAAAATTTAATTCAAAGTTCCTCGTATTAATCTATAACTAATTAAAGAAAAAAAATGAATTTAATTTAAAAAAAAAACAATACTAATGTTGGAATATTACATTTTAACAAACTGATAAAAATCATGAAAATCCACATTTTTACAGTAAAAAATTAATATATTTTCATATAATTTTGTTTTGTAACCAAAAATAAGAGAATGGAAATTCACAAAAATGGTTTATAAGAGATACTTAATGAAATTTTGAAGAACTGGGTATTTTTTAGTTAACAGCCTCTTCACACGTAACCACTCGGCAGCGCTTTTTAGCAGCTCGTCAGTGGAGTTGAATATTTTTTCAGAACCGTGTCTGTCTGTCTGTCTGTCTGTCTGTAGCGCTGCTCGTGTTTTTGGAAGCGTGTCTCTAGCGCTGCTCGTGTTTTTAGAAGCGTATCTGTAGCGCTGTTAGTGTTTTTAAAAGCGCGTCAGTGGCGCTGCTCATGTTTATAGAAGCGCGTCAGACTGTAATTGTCATGCTTTATTTCCCTAGTAGCGAACCAGTTTTCTATTTCACTAATGAAATCTTCATTATTAATATTTGCACAATCGGATGCCATTATTTCAAAATATAAGAGCTAATAACATTGATAAGACATAGCACTCAAGCTGACAAATAAAGACTTAAATTAAAATGATAATAATTGAAATCGTTTGATCAAACACGGATTAATCGTGCTACTAACGCGCTGCCGACGAACTACAAGAATAGACGCGCGATTGCGATCACGTGTGAAAGCCCAATCTAAAAACACGTTCTGTCACGAGAAGCGCGACTTTTAGATTGCTAGAACAAGGGTAGTAAACCTTTTTTGGTTCAAGTGCCAAATTTTTCCAATTAAGTTTTTAAAAATCGTTTGAAAAACGAGCCAAAAAAAAAAAAAAAATGAAATTTTCTAAGAATAAAAATAAAATTACAGGTTTATTACATTATTTGTACTAAATTATAGTCAATATTAGTAAAACACAAGCAACAATTGTTTCATCGGTCAAAACATTTCTTTCCTTCGATTTTATTAAATTCGGTATGGCGAATAAGCTTTCACAAACTTAAGTTGACAAAAAATATGAAAATATAAGGAATAACAAAACATATGTTATATACAGGGACGGCACGAGGGAGGGGGCAACAGGGGCAGTAGCCTAGAGCTTCACGCCTTAAATTATAATTAAGGCCCCGCGGTTCTTATTTAACTGAACTTAAAATATTTTATTAATAGAAATTATAAGACCCAACATTTATTATGCCCAGGGCCTCGCAAACTCTAACACCGTCACTGGTTATATGTATAACTTACTTTACATAATCTATTTATTTAAGTTTACATTTTGAATTATTAATTATATTTTTTAATTTTATAGTTATATTAATAAAATATTGCTTAGTTATGTTTTCTTCCACATTTTGTATAACTATACATTTTTACTAATTAATTATTAACTAAAAATTAATTTTAACATTTTTGTATAATTTTGTTTTTTCCATATACATAATGCTAAATTTAAATAATATTGTTAAAAATCTTAAGTTGAAAATGTAAACACAATTACTATGTTATTTTTATAAAGGGTTAAAATACCTGTTTAATATAATATAATAAAAATATATAATTTGTTTTTTTTTAATTTCATATAAACAAAATTTTATAAATATTATATTTTTTGTGTACAATTTTAATAAATTCAATTTTTGCGCATGTAATTAAAATTTCGTCAACGTGTGCCATAGGTTAATTAGTATAGTATATACTATATATATAGGGCCAAATTGCGGCCCTCGTCATAGTCGTATGCGGCTCGCGGTCTTATTTACAAAAACCAAAATATTTTAATTTTTTTGTATACATTTATAAAAAAAAATTTTATTGCAAAAATACGAGGCTATAGTGTACGGATTAATAAACAAAAAAAAATTTATTTATATGAATAATAAATTAAAAAATTAAACATCAAGTTAAATTTGTTTGCGTGGTATTTTTTTCATGTCCAATTTTTTAGTAAGCTTCTTAAGATCTGGTTGAATTGATGTAAGAATAGTTCTTAGTAATTCTGTGAGATGATCATTAGTCAAATTTAACGATATTTTGACTTAATTATATATTTATATATATGTTTATCAACTGTTAGCTTTCTTAATTACTTTTGTAGTATAGAAGTACCGATTAGATAATTTGACTCTTAATATAATCTTATTAATACATGTGGCTCATGTACATAGACATGTTGGCTACCCCTGGTATATAGTATAGTTCAGTATACTGAATTTTAATATCACACGCAATGTTTCAAAGAATGAAAGTCGAAACGTAACTAACTATACATTTATAAACGGTAATTGGTGGATACAATGGTTTACCGATAGTTTAGTCTAGTAAAGATGCCTCATAGGGTTATTATACCTGTCATAAAATCCTTATATTAGTATATATGAAAATATTGATAAGCAACCGAAAATTGTGATATATATACAGGGACGCCCACAGAAATGTAGCTCAGGGGGGGCAAAAAAATTGTAAGTACCTTAATACTTATAGGAAGATTTACTGCTACATATTTCATCTACTCATATTTTGTATTACTATTATTAAAAATTTTTTAAAAATCAAAACTCATTTAAGTTTATATAAAATTACATTATTAGTTATTAGTTTTAATATTTATAAGAAAAAATATAATTAAGTTTAAACAAAAAACAACTTTATTTGATTGAATTCGCATCATATTTTATTATTTTATTCAAAAAGTAATGACAATCTCCTTTTGTTTGAAGCAAATAAATTAATTGAATCATCATTTGTTGATTAAAAAAAATGTTAGATACTTGTTAGATACAAGGATTGTCGAATAGTCACTGAATACCCAAGATCAGCTTTATGTAAAACAACTTCCAATTTTGTAAGGGACCCGAAAATCTCAGGGGGGGCAATGGCCCCCTCTGGCCCCCCCCATCCGGGCGTCCCTGTATATATATAGATAAAATATACGTCCCTATTATATCAGATATATATATGTGGTCTTCTTTTTGTAGTGTACGACTTTAAAATGTCAATAATAATAATATTGATATGTGTGCGGTAATGAACTAATGAGTATTTCAAAATCTGTGTGGATTATTGTCCATGCATTTTTGCGAATTCGTGCACATAAAACAAAGTTATAAATATAATTTAATGCCAACATTTGCAAACCGATTAATTTTATATGATTTTTAATACTAGCTTTTATAAATAGGTAACACCATCATCAACAAATATTGTATATAATTATTGATTAACCGAGTAAGAATTAGTTAGTCAATTAGTTTAATACTAATTAACAATAACTAGTATTAAATATAGTTAAAAAATATAAATTTGAAAAGGTCATTTTAAAAATTAAAAAGGGCAAGACTCTTAAAACGAGTGAAATACAGGCATGGGTAAATTATATTATTACATTGGTCTTTTAAAATTGAAACAAATGCACAATTGCTCTTGAAAACCCGATTCTGAGTAAAAGAGCGGATCAATTTTTCTTATATATATATAACATAAACTAAATTTCTTAATAAGATGAGCTGAACTTAATGTACAAAAATAATTATCTAAAATTTGGGAAAATCGAAAATTTCAAGTACTTATAAATAGTACATATAAAACTAAATAAATTAAACTGTTTAATGCAGCGGTTCCCAAACTTTTTTTTTCGTGGTACCTTTTATTGGACTCAATTTAGCCATGTTGCCCTGTAGTGACATGAACATAAAAGACAGAATGAAAAAAAAATACTCATTGATAACTAATTTTATTAATTTCATTAAAATTAAACTTAATTATAAATTAATATATTTTTAAACTTAAAAATTAAATAAATAAAAATTATTGCTATCATTATTAAAATTATTACATAAAAATATTATAAGGTTAAAATGAGAATGTCCGAATATACAATAAAAAATATTTCATTATTTGCTATAAAGTTTTTACGAAAACAATAAGGAAAAAAAATCTAAATATTTTAAACCATTTGTTATGAACCGTAGACCACGGTGCCCTTAGAAAGTGCTCGAGGCACCCCTAGGGCACCACGGTGCACAGTTTGGGAACCACTGGTTTAATGGATATATTATTATCTGATTTCGTCAAAACTTCATTTTGTAATGCTTAAAAAGCTTATTTGTACATTTCGTGAAATTGGATAAAAGATTACCTTACAACTTTCTTTGTATACAAAAAACAATATTACAGGAAAGTTTCAAAAATTTTTTTAAAACTTAAAAAATTAAATGTTGATGTAATCGGATATTTCAACGAATTTCCGTTAAACGAAATATTATTTAGTGGTTATTCTGCACATATTAATTATAGTGACTCGAAAAATTTACTGAGTACTAAGTTAGCATATAAAAAACATTTTATTGCTTGGAAATATTTTAATGAATTTTGTACTGTTTATAGGCACTTGAAATAATTGATTTTTTCCAAATTTTAGGTGTCTTTATTTTTCACAATAAGTAAAAGATTAAAAGTTCAACTTACCTTATTAAGAAATTTGGTTCTTCTACTACATCAACCATCTTTAGAAATACACTGGTATACAATGTATAAACTGATCCACTCCACCTTTTTCATTCAAAATAATTATTCCGATAGCAATAGTACATAGATAATAAGTTTTAAAAAACAATTCAGTAATACTATAGGTACCTATAGTATCTTACCCGATCAAAGAGTTTTACCTTATACATATATATATTACTGAAAATAAGTTAATAACATTATTAACATTATTATAAGATATTATTCTCTAGTATTTGGTTTAAAATAAATTCTTAATTTTACAAATTTGAAAATTTAGAAAAGTTTATAGTCATTTTTAATTTCTGAACATTTCATTTTAATGCATGAATTTATAAGTAATAATTAGGGAACGGATTTGAATGCAATTTGCATTCTTTTCTGAATGTCCGAAAACATTGCTTTCCAAGCACGAAGTTCATTTTATATATCAAGGAATTAAAAAATTTAAATTTTATTTTGCATTATTTTGCATTTTTTGATATTTTTAGTGCATTTTTATATATATTTGTTGCTTGGAAATATAAAATGTTTAAAAAAATACACATTAAATTTAAATTTTTTAACATTTTTCGTTTTACTCATAAATTAGTTATTTTTACGAAGACCGGCTGATTGTACTATACGTAATTCTCAAAATTTGAAAATCCCCGTTCGTATCGTTAGCGTAAAACGACCTTAATTGTAAAGAACCAGTGCTCGACTTGAGGGTGGACGCAATAGAACGGAGTACCCCTTCTAATTTTTAGAAATGTTAGCGTTCCCCTACTATTATTACGTTATAATTATAATATATTATTACACTTAATATATTAAGTTTTGCGGATACAATTTTTTTTAAACAAACAGAATCTCCGTTCTTTAATCTTGCCAAGTCAAGCACTGTAAATAACTTAGATAATGTTACGATACGCGATAACGGTAAATAACTAATATAAAACTAAATAATAATTAATAATACATTTTTAATAATGATGTGTTTTTTATAAATTTTAAGTTATAATAACAATATTAATATATTATACTTACACAAATCTGTTTTAAATTGTGTTTTTAAAAGATTTTTAACATTTTTTAGTGCATTTTTTTGATATAGCATTTTTTTAAGGCATTAAGTCGTATTTTTTTAGAACTTTTTTCTTATTTTTTATGGCATTAAAGTCCGTTCCCTAGTAATAATATTTAAATTTCATTTCATTAAAATACCAAATCTATGGTGTGGAATTTAGATATTTCAAAATAATATACATAAAATTAAATGTGTAATAATAACACAAGTGCGGATCATAGTTATTATGGTTTTTCTATAAGACATAACACACAACACACAAACATAATGGTATGAAAGTATAAGCCAAAATAGTGTTATGAATAAGTGAAACTTTTAGGGCAATCACTAAACAATAAGCAAGTTAGGTACAACAAAAAAAAAAAAAAATGGAATAAAAATAATTAGGAAATACATCTATTTACACATTTTACCACTCTTTAAATTGTTAGTTGGGGAATAAATGTATAGCCAAAGATTAAAAATATCTTTATGATGTTTCAGAATGTTTATTTTATACAACTAACTTGTAGGGTTTGATGATGGAACAGGCATAAGTGCATGTTGTATTATACTTTCCCAGCTTTTCTCTCCTTTAGTCCCAGAACTATGACTTGTATTTTCTAAATTTATTTCCATTGATGAATTGAGTTCTTCATCACCAACATAATATTCAAGATTAGTAGTTCTTAGTTCAAAACTATGCATTGGGCCTACAAAACAAAGGTTATGGAAATTAAATATATTAGTTTTAAATTATAATTTGTTTGATTAATAAAAGTATGTACCAGAATCTCTAGGAACAGTTGCACTCTCAATAGCAAGTATCTCAGACAAAGGTATTTCTTTGTAATACTTTGATGTTTTATCATTAACATATAATGTAATTGCTTTTGAATCCAATCTCCAATAATGACATTTTCTCTTTATAATAAATGATTGATAAAAACAATAAATATTGTTTATATTTTTAAGTTATAGTTAATAGAAATATCATACTTGATTATCTTTGTTAGTAAAATGAACTAACCACCCCTCTTTAATAACTTTTGAAGCACATCTTCTTTTAGTATGTTTAATTGATTGAACTATTCGCATTAATGGAATGTTATTGCTGGATGTAGAACTAATGAAATAAAATAATTAATTTTTTATTATTATGAAACATACAAATTATTATCTGAACATAGTATAATATGATCTTAATTTATCATCAACATTTAAATCAATAAAAATATGTTAAATATTTACCCAGTACAGTTTAAATCATCTTGTGTAGTATGGTGAGCATTTTCTGTAAAATGTCCTACAGTCTCCTGTAAAAATTCAGAAAATTATATCCAAGTACATTTATATGAATTCTTTTGTTAAATTGACTGATTTATTTTGACTAAACCTTTTTTTTTTTCAATAATAAATTTAATGTAATGTGTAGTGGCATAGCATGCCAAAATGATAAATAATTAGATTGAGATGGTAACCTTATTCAATATTAATCACCAGAGCTGACCAATCGATGACAATCAGTTACTCTGTCATACAATGCTCTTAAATAATATATGAATATTTTTCTTACCATTGTATTACAAGAACTTTGTCCATTATGAGAATTGGTTAATGTTGTTACTATAGGGGGAACAGCATACGGAGGAGATGGTGTATTATTTTCACCATCACTATCATCTTCGCCTTTACTGCCAGATCCTTCATGCTCAGATTCACTGCCTACACCACTTTCTAAATAATTTATTGTAATTTATTAATTTTAAATTACCAACAGTTTTATGTTTAAATATTATAAATTTCTGAATTGTAAAATATTTATAAAATTATCAATAAAAAAGTAAAATAAATGTTTATAAAACAATAGTCGTCAACCTTTTTGGACCCTTGAGCCACATTGACAAATTAAAAAGAGTTCATGGACCATACAAAATTTTTATATGATTTTCAATAAAATGTCTTAGTTTTGGAATTTAATACGGACAGTATAAAAGAGACTTATGTATCAGATGCAGCCTATGGGTCGTCAGTTGTTGACCATTATTATAAATTAAACTTATCAGTAAATAAAACCATCAATGTTTATATATATGTTTTAAAATGCATGTTCTTAAATAAAAAAAATTGAATATACTTATGTTGAAAACATTAATGGTATAAATAACAGAAAAGCAAAAAAGTTAAATTAAATTATTAGTTATAAAATAAAATACAAACCATTTAAATCAATTGGATAATCGCTGACACAATCTTTTGGTACAAAATCCATGCACTTTTTATGTACATTATAATGACAATCTTTGCACTGCACTCCTTGTTTGTAAATTCCTTTAAGCAATTTCTTACAATATTGACATATTGTTGGTCTAGTGTATGTATGCACAACAAAAATGTGTGGTATTTTAACAGGAGAAGGTGACCGGCTTTTACTTTTTACTGGTACATTTAATAAATTTCCACTGATAACCTAAAAATGTAAATAATAGGAATATTATAATATTTATTTTATTTATAGAAAAAATGAAAAAATGAGTGTTTCATTAAAATGATTAAACAATATTGAAACCATAAATATTCAACATACGGATTCATCTGATACTGCAGATGCCAATGAAACATTTGATGGACTACGGGGTGAAAAACTCAAATTAGAATTACTCGATTTGGATTTATTTTTTTGTTTATTTCCACCACCACAATCGTTGAGCAGTTTAACAACACATCTCTTATGGTAATTTAAATTACAACCTAATAATAAATAAGACATACATATATATATTTTAATAACATAAATTAGAATATCAATTATTAATATGTTTCATTTTTCATTATAACAAATTTAAATATAGATTTTTATGATCTAATTATAATGCAATAAATAAACATTAAAATCGTCAATTACCTGAACATTTTAAACCTTGTCTTACAATTCCAAATAACATTTGACCGCAGTAATCACAGAATGTTGGAGTTTTATATGAATGTACTGCTAATGAATGTGGTTTAATAACAGAGCTCTCATATTCTTCTGATAATAGTTGACCTAAAAATGTACAATTATATAAAATACTAAAAGAGACTTTAAATAGACAGAGGACAAACAAGTACATAAAAACCAAATTTTTTTTTTTATTATTTACAAACTAATCATTTTAATCTAATTAATAAATGATATATATCATTGTTAAATATTATTTAAAGATAAAATGACAACAATACATACATATTAAATCAAATATTAATATTTTAGATTTATAGAATACAAATAATTATCCTGCCAGATATTTATAAATTAAATTAATTATTTAATTATGAGTTCACTTGTAGTATGGTGTTTTTCGTAATTCAAATATAACAGATATTTTTAAAAAACAAAGTAATTCATGAAAATATTGATAAAAGTATTTTATAATGATAATCATAAAAAGATATAGTTCAACCAAGCTGAAAATTGTATTAATGCATTACTCATTGGCTCATTGTATAATCATAATTTAATACAAAATATCAAAAATTTATGTTATTTTATTCAATTTTAGATTCTGAGTGAAAGAAAAATGTTCTGGTTTTACCATGTTTTTCTTTTTGTGCCTCTATACACAATTTTGATCAGAGTGTTCCGATCATCAAAATCATACAAGAGGTTTTTTATAGTAAATTTTGTTTGATACTTTGAGGATACTCATTTCATGAATTTCTCTACAGTTTTTTTAATAATTACAAAAAGAAACAGCAACATTTACAGACCACCAGTTTTTGAACTAATCAAATTTTGGTTTCATCTCATATCTAAATATAATCATCTTAGAAAAAAAAATGTTCACAAAATGTTTATATAATTATTTGCAATACATAATATAATTTTCAAAATCTTTTAAGCTATCTATAAGAAATTTAAATTTTTTTGTTTCTTAGCTTATTTTCGAATATGTAAAATAATTAAGGTTTGATGAAATGTCTTAATAATTTAATTCAAAGATCCTCATACATTTATATAACTAATGAATGAAATTTTTATAAGCTTTAAAATTATCAAATTTGTACTGCATATTTTTTAAAAAAAGATTTCAGCCTGCCAGTCCCTGTAAACTTAAATGTAATGTTTAAATATTAATTAATATATTGTCATTACACTTAATATTACCTGATAAAACAATTTCAATGATAGTTTCATCATTTATATCAATGACATTGTTCACAGGAATAAGAATTTGATCACAAGAATAGTTATGCCGAAACAGTAAAATTCTTTCTGCCAACCGAGTAAGGCCATGTTCAGGAGCCTAAAAATTAATATTTAAATTAATTAATTACAACAATTTCCCATAGTCTATGTACACAAAATTTGATTGCAATAAAAGGAAAAACTTTATATCTCTTAATTTCAAAAAAATTATAATAATAAGTATATGTGATATTAAACATCACAAAAAATATTAAGAAGTTATTTTAAAATTTTTTTTCTTGACACTATTAACCAAAAACTATTATTTTTAAACCATTTATTATTATAATATATAAATTGAGTGCTTTTAATAACTTTTAATGGTCTTAAATCAAGAGTATATTTTAATACATTGTTAACTTATAGAAATGAATAAATTAATATAAAACAATACAATTTCAGTTTACGTTGATGATAAACTATTGAAATAGTTGTATATTAGTAAACTTCACACTTAAAGAATTTGTTACTATATTTAAAAAAATAATCAAGTGTTTCCTTTTATATAAAAAAAAAAAAAATTTAACAGACCTATCCAATCTAAACATGATTGAAATTATTACAGGAAGTATGTTGTATTGTTTTGTTTTAGTTAAAAAAATTGGTAAAAGAATTTATTTTGTTTTTAAAATCTTGCTCTTTTATTATATATACGGCAAAAAAATAGTATTTGCTTTATTGTATAAAAAAAGAAAATGCAGATAAAAAAAAAATAAACAAATTTCATATCGATTTAACTAACAATAATAAACTAAAACAGTATTATCCTATTCTGTAGGTATACAAAATATATTAAATTTAATTAAAATAAAAACCTAAGTATTTTTCCATCTTTTTTTTTTTAAAATATACTAAAAATACTAAAAATAATTACTTTAAAATAAAATAATACATTTTTTAAAAAATTAAATGTTGCAATGTAATGAATCATATATATATTTCTGCAATTGACACTAATTTATAATTTATAATATACTTCTATATATTTGTAATATTAATACAAGTCTAAAAGTCTATATTTTTTTAATTTTATTTACAAATAAAAAAATTTTAATTTTTAAAAAAAAAGTTTATTAATATATACCTTAATTCAATATCCTTAAGACTAAATTACATTCTTAAAGAATTTCTTGAATGATTTTTACAAATTTCTTTTTTAATCAAAACACATTTAAGTATTATAATAAAAAATACTTACTTTTATGTTGACAAAGTCACATGCTGCTTCTTTTAAGGTTTTTAAAGTAAAAGCAGATGCATTTAATGTCACAGAGTCACGAATCAATCCAAGTTGCAATATAAATGTTACATCTTTATCTTCCATTTCCCTTGATGTCTATTAATGGTTGTATACATTAAAACTAGAAATAATAAAATATATTAATTGTTTTTTCTCTAAAAATGAATTAAATTTTTAAGTTGTAATTAATATTAAATGTGTTTTTTACTAATGAAAAATAACTTTATCAACAATTCCAGTTAAAAGACTAATGGCACACAATACTAAAATAAGAATAAAACTAAAGGACTTCCTATAGAATTAATTAATTAAAAATATCAAGAAAATAAATATAAATTCTAATAATTTCAAGCTATCTTATGTTATGTGAGCTTTTTATTTCATTTATTATATGAAAATATTTGTATGATAAGAGTACATATCATATTATACATCATAGTAAAATAAAAAAATAATCTAAAAATAATTCTTTAAAATACAGAAATAATAATTAATAAAATTGTTAAAAGTTTTTAAAAAATTTTTAAATTTACTGAATTAGTATTCAAATCATTGTATATAATTATTGGAAAATTAAAAAATACTAGGTAAATTTAAAAATAAACTTTTGATAATACCATTCAGTTTAATAATATAATAAATTATTCCATCAGTCTAAAATTAAAAGTATTCATTAATTATTTTATAGTCTAAATAAAACGCAATCAGGTATCAAATAGTTATGTTCTACATTTAAAAAATGTATTTTAATCAATATATTTTTATGCATTGAAACTTCTAATATTATAGAAAGGTAATCACACAACAACACAGCTATACTAAAGACGATAACATAAAATGATATACATTTTATTATGATTTATAATACAAATATTATTATAGTTATTAATTAATTATTTATTATTATTAATTATTTTCATGTGGTAAAACTTTAATTTATGTTCAATATATGATAATGGTTAGTTTTAAAATAACTATTATAGTTAAATACCATCTTAAAATTGCATGGTATTCATCAATATGTATCTTTTTAGGAAGAATTTATTCTTAAACTAAAAATCATCCCAAAATATTTAAATATTTAATATAAAAAGTTTGAAGTATTTCAGTCAATAATTTAATAGGATATGTGTGTTTGATTAAATTTTGTTTTTGGCAAATTTCAACAATTAAAATAATTATCAATTAAATACAAACATAGGCCTACATATAACCTACGTATGCTTGCAATTAATAAATTAAATAAACATATTAAATACAATAATATATACAAATTTACTGAATAGAAATTTAGAATGTAGTCACTAATCACTATATAATTTTGTTAGTAAAGTGATATATCTATTTGTGTATGAATAAAATAAAATAATTTATTTAAAAGTACTTTCAAAAAATTTAAATTATAATTTTTAATTGAAGTTATATTCTTTAATGTTAAACATTATCATTTGAGTGTTTAGTAGAAACTAAAATGAACAACAATGTCTATGAAAAAATATTTATAATGTATCTTTATAAATCAAATAGGCTACTAGTAAATCATGATATTAATTACTTTAACACATGAATTCAAATAATCATAATAATTTTACACAGAAATAATTATTCACTTAATGTTCAATAATTTAGTAAAATATTTTTATTGAAGCTTAAATTATACATGAACTGAATATTTTAGACGTATAAAGCATATAATTAAATGGTACTTCTCTGTTATCCCTACTACCACAACTACTCAATTCTGTTTTCTCAACTACCACGCTGAAGGTGTTTGGGGCTCGGCTCCGCTAAATGGAGAAATAAAAAGCATAGGGTAACCAGACCCCATCATTTGGAGTATTATCTGGTGGAGTTTATCTGGAGACATAACATTGAAGGAGAACCATTCGATAACATATTGTAAAATATTTCCAAAAAATTGGTCAACAAAAATAGAATTTTAAACTTATGCAACTGTAACTGTGATAATTTTAGGATTTGTAATTTGACGTTTTGTGATAATTTTAATGATTTTATGTTTTATACACGATTTAAGATACCTAGTATTATCTTAAATCGTGGTTTTATACTATAATCCTCCACTACTGTGATAATTTGTGGGATTACTGATAATCAACTTTATACTAATATACATTATAATATAAATAGCAATTCATGATGTGTATTATGTATTAAAATACGAAACTATCTATATACTAACTACTAACTATAGTAGTCGAGATAACAAAATTGAGAGTTGCGGTAGTCACGGCATCGAGCTATAGTAGGGATAACAGAAAAGTACCAATTAAATTAAGTAAAATAATAATATATGGATGATTCTGATTTATTTTATAAACCAACAACAGTATTAGAAATATATGGATAGTAAAAAATTTTAAAACGAAAATTTCATAAACATATTGATTTGAAGAAAAATCAAATTATTATTTACTTATCATATTATTACTTTGGTTGTATGAATTTATCATTCAGTATCGGTTAAAATATGAAGTCAATACAAATTTAAATTACAATTTATAATGTAGTGTATAATAAAATATCGTTTAAAGACCAAACGTAAAACTAAATTTTATAACTCTATTAAATTTAAAAAAAGCAATATACTTACGATTGTTATTTTTTTTCTTAGATGTTTGCAAATCTCAATAATAATAATCATACCGAATAATTCGGTTTAGAAAAATAATTCGCCATTATAAAAACTACAACGTAAAACGTAGTTCACTCGTTGAATCGTATTTTAAGTACATATTATAATAGAGGTAGGTAGTTACAAACCATTAAGGACAACTTTCACCGAAGTATGAATCAATTTCAATCTAAATAACAAGTGATAAGAACAAATGTCACGTTATCACCTCGGTTTTTTATTTTTTATCTTCCATATATATCTACAATATGTGAAATTGAAAATCTCCTCCTTTATTTAGCCTTATTTAGAAATATGGTGTGATTCTTGAAGACACATTAATTTATGTGAAACTGAGTAGGACACTTTTCATATAAGAATGACGTCTCATCAGATTCGTTATAATCATAAATTATCGGTTTTTAGCAATACCCAACCGACATTTTTCATCAGTGTTACATTATCTTTTAAAGAAGTTCATTACTCGGGATTAAAAGGTCTACACGATACTTGTATCCTCAAAAAATTATTGATACCTGAGAATTTTTAATATTACGGCAGGTTAGTTGCGTCCCAAATACCCGGGCGCAACTTGCCTACTATGGTAATTATTGACGATTTATTCCGCATCAATATAATTTTTATTATTTAGAATCTAATAAATGAAAATAAATATATATTTAACAAGAAAGAAATTAATAGTAAATTATTCATATCTCATGTTTTTCATACACCCAATATCATATTATATAATATTATCAAATAAAATTATATTATTATATTATATAATATTATATTTTATTGACTAATAAAAAATTCTGCTACTATACTAATTGTTAGTTCTTTTTTTAATGTTTTTCAAATTATTTAAATTAACAAAAATACCATATATATTTATATTTTCTTCTAATATACTTAACTGTAAAATATATTAATATGGTAATTTCTATGCAAAATTATTAATTTATCATTTAGAACGCAAATTACTAACCTATCAACAAATACCACGGACGACTTGCATCTAAAATATGCTTATGATTCAAACACAAGATAGGGATTATTAATCGGGGAAGTATATATAATGCAATTGATATTCACTGAAAAGAAGCAGTGGCGTATTTACGGGGGGGGGGGGATCCCGGGTCTCGACCTCCCCAGAAAAAAAATTAAAAATCAATAAAACTTGGTACGTAGGTACCGAGAAAGAGAATATTAATTTTATATTATGGATTTTTACTTTGGTTTAACTTTTGGTTATTTTTGTCGCGTCGTTTGATATTGAAATTAAAATTCCGAGATTAACAAAAAAACAAACTAATAGATGCAATATACCATTAAATACTCCGGAACAATATTATCGAGCATCAATTTTTATTCCTTATCTTGACAAATTTATTACAGAGTTAGAACAAAGGTTCAATGTTCATCGATCGATTTTATCAAGTTTCGATTCTTTATTTAGGGAAAATGGTCCCATCAAAGATATTATAATTCTATCAAATAAATATATTGAAGATTTGCAGAATGATGGATCTCAGAATCAAATTATTGAAGCAGAATACAAATTATGGCAGAGAAAACTCATACAAACAACAGAGAAACCAAATAATGCTCTAGAGGCTATGGCTACGTGTAACCAGTCAATTTATCCAAACATATTTAAACTTCTTCAAATCTTAATCACGCTACCTGTTTCCTCTGTAACAAATGAAAGAACATTTTCAAATTTAAAAATAATAAAAACGTATCTAAGGAATTCCATGCCAAATCAGACAATGATTTTATTTCAGGTAAAAAAAACTTACCGGTGGAATTTACATTATTTTTTCGAGTAAAAAAACTATATCGGGGGAATTTACATTTTTTTTCAGATAAAAAAAATGTACCGGTGGAATTTACATGAAAAAAGGTTTAAAAAGGTAACAATCGGTGAAATTTACATGCGCCCAAAATAGGAGGCCCCTGCGCGATAATTATATTAGGCCCCTTCCTAGGATTTATTTTTGTTGTACGTCTTATTTATAAGTATCAATTTTTTTAGGTTTTAAAACACGTTTTACATCAGTTAGTGTATGATATATGTGTACAGGGCCGTTCAGAAGGGGGGGGGGGCAACGGGTACATTGTGCCCCAGGCCCCTGGAATATTTTTTTTTATGTGGCCTCCTTAAAGTTTTAATGTATAATAATTAATAATGACGAGCTGTTATCGACCGGCTACCACTGTTATTGAGACAAAAATTATTTTCTTTGTGTCATCCACATAATAATATACAATTCTATTAGTGATATTACATTATATTGTAATACCATTACAAAATAATTGACACATTTTGTCATGTGTGTACTATACAGTATACATTGCCCAGCCAAGACAATTTAAAGTTGAAGTGTTTGTAACAGCTTTAGATAGACTTTTATCTGATATTTATGGTATTCAAGCAAGTATGAAGAAAATATCAAACACATTTTCTTCAATTATCAGCCCACCAGAAGAACCATGTGATGAATTTTTGAAAGCTCAAGCTGAAATAATTTCAAGTTTATAATCTAATGACGTGTGTGCTAGTATATTAAAAGAGGAATTACGCATTTATTGCAAAATACACAAAATATCAACAATTATTTTTAATGATAGCGAAATTGCATCAATTTCTATTCTTAATCAAATATATAAGAAAGGACTTCAAAATATACTACCTCAAATATGTATTTGTTTTCGAATACTTTCTACCATTCCCACGTTTGTGTCAACGGGAGAAAGATCTTTCAGTAAACTGAAATTAATAAAAAGCTATTTACATTCAACTACAGAAGAGAACCGCCTAAATCATTTAATACTTCTCTCCATTGAACACAAGTTAGCAAAGACTTTATATTACGATGATGTTATAGACAGCTTTGCTGAAAAAAAAGTTTTCTGATATACATTTTAATATTTTATATAAAATAATAAACTAATAAAATAATTTTTTTTTTAATTTTCTTAATTTACCTTATCTATTTATTTAATCCAATAAACATCCAAGTTCATATTTTCCTTGAATAAATATAACTATTTAGAAATAAATTGTACTTTTTAGTATAATATATGATGTATATATTGAAAATTAAGTGTGTAATGCAGCACATGCATTTAAATAAGCTTGATTGGTTAGGGTTTGGAAAAATACGTTTGCAAGAATTTTTTTTATTCTCATTGAGTATTTTGTTAATCATATCTTATTATTAAGGTCGCTGGAGGGCCCCCCAAATTAATTAGTCCCAGGCCCCGAAAAACCTTTGGACGGCCCTGTATGTGTATATATCAAATTAAATACCTACAACTGTTGTATATTATACTTCACTACATATTTATGTAGTAAATTTGTTTAAGTAGTTTAGGTAGGTATATAGTATGCCTATTCAAATACTCAATGGACTATTTGTAAAATAAATATTATATTACTCTAAAATATTATAACATCCTACTTAAATTTTTAAAAGAAGTTTCTTTTAATTATAAAATAATAATATAATATTATTAAATAATTGTGTATTTGTAAAGTATAGTTTATTTTAGGCTGGAACTAGGGGGGCCCCCCAAATGTATGTTAGTCTTGGGGCCCGTGTGCGCAGCACACTGCACACCCGGTTTTTACGGCACTGCTCAATAATATTGAAAACATTTTATATTCTACTATGAGTTGATTTAGCTGCATACTAGCTAGTATTTTGTCAAATGGCTTTACGCGACTGACTACTGGTTTATACGCGTGAATGATGAACGGTTTTAGTATTTTACTGAGTGATCGCCAAACACTGTAATGGTAGCGAGAAATGCGTTATTTGTCGAACGGCTTTTTATGCCGTCGTCGATGTAATATTATTCGTCCGTGCCGTTGTCGGGAAGTGGGGGGCATTAATAAAACCAAAACGTTTCCACGATATAAAATCGGTGTCTAAGATCATTGTGATTAAGAAAAATGAAAAAAATTCCACCGGTTTCATACGCGCTCGGACCGTAATATATTCACCGACTACTCAGCAAGACTGGGGACAAAGGATAACGTGGCGTGGAAATAAATACACGGTGGTGGGGAGAAAAAAAATAATAGGTTTAATTTAGCAAGGAATACAACGTGAATATAAAATTCATATTCTTTATAATGCCTATGAGATACTAATTGGTAGGTTGCATAAAATGTTCAAAAGTCAAAAATCCAATACAATTTCAGTTTCAGACAGTCCGTCTGGACACACTGTACAATATAACGCGTTTGTTACAGTTGTCGTAATTAAAAAGGTTCGATTCCGTGTCGTAATTTTTTGTGTGCCATCCGTACGGTATGAAAGACGACAAAAAAGAATTACCCACTTCCGAGATTACTCGAGCGTCATTATCAACGCGCGTGTGGGTGTGTATGTGTGTATAGCGTATGTGTGAGTGATGTGTACAAAACGGTCGACGGACGAAGTGGACATTGGGACAACTCGCGATCAGTTAAGTTTTTCCACCACTCGCGGACGTCGATCCTGGGTGGTACGCTCGTTATGATCCAGCGATACCAAACATTTATATTTTTCTTTTGCTCACCAACAACAATATTTTATTATACAAACTCCATTCTTTTTTGATACATTTTATGATAATTGTAAAAAAAATTTTTTTTTTTTTATCAATATCGTGGAAAAAATTTCGAAAATTTTTTTTCGTTCCTGCAGCTAACGCAGGACGGGCCTGTTAGTAATTATCAAAATCAAATTGCACTCGCAAATATGATAGCAAGAAAATTGCGGAGAAGTGTATTATAGCGAATAAATGTTATTTATACGGCACTAGCGTTTTGCGTTTTAAAGTTTAATGACCTTATTGATATCTATTTTCAATTTGTTTTTTTTTTTATGATTACTATGTACTATTATTTTTTTTTGTTTTTCTAATATTTACCGTGGTGTGCGTCAAGTTTTGAGTACAGAGTAGTCATTAATTTCTTATCCTCGCATTATTTTTATCGCTCAATTTATCATTTTAATAGGGGTTTTTTCTCAATTTTATGTTTCTTGCATTCGTTATCGTCACTATTTTGTGTTTGTTCGGCGTACACAACGAAGAAGAATCGAACTACTAAAAAACCGAAAAAAGCTGGTAAGCTACCTATCTGTTGTTAAAATGGATATTTTACTGACCAGAATTGTAAATTTGTAAACGACATTTTTCTCTTGGGAACTATTAAATTCGTGAATTATTTTGTTTAAACTTATTGATTTATTCTTGTTAACTATTCTATTTTATCAATATTTTTTCAATTTAAGGTCAGTTTCATATTTTATACTTGTATATGTAATAAACATACTCAAATATAAATTGAAAAATATATCAATACAATCTAGGTATTAATTTTGTTTTGTTTTGTTAATATTGACTTTTTAATGTAATTACCAATATATTCATTTACTATACCTGTGTACTATATTCTTGGCCTCTTCGACTTATCTAGTTATGCTAAACAATAACTAAATACTAGTTTACATACTAGATTATTGATGGTTATTAGTTATTTGTTTCATGTTCATTGTTGTTATAGTTTTATCATGAGAATACAATTAATAGTTTTATCATGAGAATACAATTAATAGTTTTAACTTATTATTATTGTATTCATAATAAGCACTACATTTTAAAACGTTGAAATCAATGAAAATGTACATATTTAATATTTTTTTTTCAATATGAATATGTAATTAATTGTAAAGTTTTTGATTTTGTTATTTAAAATGTAGTGTTTAAAATATTGATAATCAATTATGTATTTTTTATACAATTTCTATGAATGATAATCTATTGTTGATCATTAATTGTTTATTTTCATTTTACCCTTAAAACAGTATTATAAAGAATAATTTAAACATATTTTAAGTTCTGCTCAAATACTAAAGAAAAATAGTATTTAAATACTAGTATGGAATGTATTTTAATAGTATTTTCTAAAAAAAAAAAAAAGCTTCTGTCTTATATGCACCAATAGGTAATTACAATAGTTTAAATGTAGGTAACTTGTTATTTATATAATTACAATAATTACAGTAATCTAACCAACAAAGTTAATTTTATATATTTTTAATTTTTTTTATATGTTATTAATAGTGCCTTTATGCAAAGTTTTTTTTAAAAAAGTTTCATAATCCAAACAAAAATATTAATTGTCATAAAATTGTAATTAATAAAATACAGTATTAAATACTCAAAAACGTAAATATTTGTTCTATCAAAAGTATTTATATCCCTGTACTCAAATACTTTACAACACTGCTCTGCAGTTATTTTTAATATTTTTCTTGGTTTCTTTATTTTTATAAAAAGCATAATTATGTATAATACATCAATATATTCATTAAAAGTAAAAAAATTGATATTATACAGTAATAACTATGATTTATATATATATATATATATATGGATAAATATTATGTTTATACAATTTTAAATGAATTATGATTATCGTGGAATTAAATTGAAATTCTGAATAGTCCAATGAGTACTCCATATAAACCCGTTTATTTATCTAAAATATGGAATGAAAATTGGGTTTGGCAAAAAAAAAAAAGAAGATAATTAGGAAAAGAACATAACCATCCAAATTTCTGTTAGTCAGAATATATGGTAAAATAATCTAAAAATCAATATTTATAAGAAGAAAATTTCAGTGATTTTGCAGAATTTTGGCCACATACATAAATATTGCCATTTTGGATTATATCTAATAACTTTATATAATAATATGTATATAATATACATTTACAAACTATTTACCCAGTCCTCAGAGCAGCATAAGAAATGGAGGTTAGATAATCTATAATATTTTAAATTTCAAAAGTATATTATAAAAATGTGGTAAAAAAATTTAAGGTTTTTAGTATATAGTTGATTATTTTTTAGTCCTAATTATTTGATTGAAAAAATGCAACTTTAATAATATAATATAACCATTTTAAAATGTATTACAACGATAATTTGAATTTATTAGGACTAAAAACTACTCAAATTTAGGTTAAAAAACCATGAAGTTTTTACACTAATTGCATAATATGTTCTTCTAATTTAAAAATGTATTTTTTTTATTTATTTTTTTTTTAATTCTTAGAGGTTGAGGGTATAATCTTTGATACTCCTAGAATACTAACATTTGATCAACAGTCAAAATAATTATTTATGCTAGATGTAATTTAAATAATTCGTAAACTAATTTCTTCTTTGGTTGAAGTTTTTCGGTTTATCTTAAATATACATAATGAAATCAGTAGTTAATTGTTAAATAGGTGTTGATTTTTTTTACTTTAAGAAGTTACTATTAGTCTAATAAAATTTAAAAAATCAAAGAATATTATATTTTATAACATTTTATTTTTCAGGATGTACATGTGCTAATTTTAAAATATAATATTTTATTTACTTGCAAAGATTACCTACTGACCATAATTTATTATATTTATGAAATAAATAAATTTTATCATAAAATACATTGATTGTATAATTTAAGGTAGTAAAACAATTAAATTTAACTATATTTTGTATAATATTTGTATATGTTTATAAAAAATTAAAACTTGAAAACTTACTTTATTTATCAATTATTTTATATTTTCTATTTTTATAATAATTATACCTTATAAATCAAGTAGATTAAATCGATATACGCAGGTGATTTTATTTATTGTATTATTTTACATAAGAAGGCATTAAATTAATAATAAATGTTTATACAAAAATCCGAGCTTATGTTAGTTAAATAGATATATCTATTATATTATCTAATCTATTGAGTTTATTCCTCCTGACATATTTACTCTCTAGTAATATATAATATGAGTCTTAACTTCTTGTATTTTAATTAAAAGAATATATTTATATTATTTGGATAGTTTTTAATAAAAGCCAGAAAAAACTATAAAAATAAAAATACCTCTGGGGCTTATATTTCGGTCCGAGAAAATACTTATTATAAATATATAATAATAGATGGAATATTTATAATCCAATAACTTGGTTTTACTATCTGAAAAATGATTTACAGTAAAAAAAAAAAAAAATCAATATTGATAAATTAATACATTAATAACTTCTTTTAGAGTATAAAATCATTTATCATAACTTATAAAATTTAATAAAAAAAAAAAATTAATTTTGACTCCCAAGATAGATAAAAAAATGTTAAATAAATAAATAAGTTAATAATAAATAGGTCCAAAGACCTTAACTGTAGCACTTGATTCAAATAAAATTATCAGTATTTAGTTTGAAAAATTAGTATGAAATTTTTAAATACAACTGTTTGTAATTTGGCAATTCAATTTTGAATCAAATTTTTTCCATCTCTAAACAGTCTTGAAATTGAAAATATTTTTTATGTCATATGATACTGAAAAAAATATCTTAACAAACAAAATGTTTATGATTATAAAAATGTGTACCTATTGAAAATATTAAAAAAAAAAGATTAAAACATTACATTATATTAAATATAAAATAAATATTTAAACTAAAAGTTATTAGATTTATAATTTATACATTTTTATGTGTTATTATTTGTGTCTATTTTTAATGAAATGGAATATTTGTTATTAAATTTTAAAAGGTTCTTTCAATTATGTTTATTAGAAACTTAATTAATACTCGCAGTTAACTTGTATGCTCACTTAAAATATTAATTAACAAGATTATAGTTCATTATGATTTTTTTGTTACATTTTTAAGAAATGTTTTTTGTGGTTATTCTAAAGTTAAATATAATTCTTCTATTCTAATAATTGAAATTTTAAATTGAATATAATAATTTTAAATGGTTATAATTAGGGCTGGGATTTTAATGTCCTTAAAAATTGCGAAAAATGACCTTAAAAAAGTGCAAAAATGATTTAAAAAACTCAACAAATGCCTTTAAAGCTTATTTAAAATAGCTTTATAATTTAAAAAATTACATTATATGTACATAAATATTTTATTTTACTTCATATATTAATAAATAAAAAATTATTCTTTGTTGTTTTACTGAATCACAAGAGTGTGCCTCCTGTTGTTCCCCAATGAGTTTTTGTAGATATACATATTTTTTACTTATTCTTCAATTTGTTCTCTTCGTTGTACTCCATTTATATGTTTGTCTCTTGATATATTTTGTATTGTAAAACGTTTATCAACAGCAACTTTTACATTGCATACCTTACACAACAACACTAATCCGTTAGTAGAAAAAATCTATAGTCTATAATTTTAAATTCGAAAAACCCCAAAAATTACTTAAAAACCCCTAAAATTACCCAAACAATGAGAAAAATGACCTTAAAATCAAAAATTGTCAAAAAATGCAAAATAAAATTTCTTATTTTAATTTAAAAATATCTAAAACATATCTGTAATAAAACGAGCATCGTACAGAAAGCTTCAGAAAAAAGTGCAAAGTGCATCGAAAACCCAGCCCTAGTTATAATAAATAGAGGTCAAATTTATATTCTCTTAAAATTCTTAAAACATGATAATATGATATTTTTATGTCGTTTAAAAATGGCAATATATTCTCTAAATATTCTTTGAAAATATCAGATATATGATGTTTTACGTCCTTAAAAATACAAATAATTCTTCAATATTCTGTAAAAAAAAAAAAACTTATTAAATTTACTCTATTTAAATTTATCATTTACTAAATGTTATTATTAGATTTATAACAACTAATGGTTAATTTTTATAACAACCTTGATTGAAGGATATAAAAATAACTCATATAGTGAATATTGTATTTTTTGATCAATATTATCAAAACGCACTCAATATGTACTTAATATGTGCATGGAAGTGATGTGAAGACAAATAATAGACAATATAATTATTAATTATTTTCTTTGAAATAAATATTTATAAAATATTTTTTGTTGTATTAAATATTTACTGACCCCTAAAGTATGTTTTTTATGCAAAATACATTTTTTCTGTGAATTCTGTGTTTCATGAATTGTAAACATATCTCATTTCATTTAACTGCATAGACTATAAACTAGGCGTGTAGCCAGTGAGGTGTTACAGATTAACTCCCCCCTTGACTATGTTATATTTAAGTCTTATAAAGGTAAAAATTCATCATGAACCATGATGAACACATATTTATCATTACAAAATATATACATATTATGATAACAGTAATATAATGCCAGGACTCGGCTTCTCATTACACTGTTTCATTTAATAAATTAAACTCGTGAATTTGTATTGTTTCATCCATGATTTAAAATATATATAAGAGAAAAAATATCCATTTGAGATTTTAATAAAATATTTAAACACTTCTTCATACATTAATATAATACACATGGATAAATATTCATGTATAATATACTAAAGTACTTGTATGCTTGTACAATAAAATATACATAAAGTTATTATTTTGTTGTATATAATTTTGTCGATTAATTTTAAATAACACCCCCTTTAAAATTACATAGCTACTTGCCTGCTAGAAACAAATATGTAAAATCATAAAAATTCGACCTCTAGTAATAACTATTAAATAGTTTTTAATAATTAAATTGATAGCAAAATAATTCTTAGTTTTTTTTCGGAAATTATGAATCTTTATTAAATCATAGACCTGGAAAAATTAAAAACAAAAACAAAGCTATTTTTAAACTATTGTTCTATAATATAAAATATTATCCAAATAAATAACTATAACAAGCAAGATAAGGACTATGTTTGAGACAATATAGTACACTAAATATTTTCTCAAGTGAGGTATTCATTCTCATCATATTTTTTATGTTTCAAATAGCACTTAGCATTTATATTTCAAAGTAGTCTTTATAGTCGAGCTATTTATGAATCGTACATCCATGGTATATATTTTTTTTCAAATAGTAACTTCCATTTTAAATCATAAATTATTTTTGTATAACTTTAATAAATATGTTGATCCTTAGTTTGGCAAACTCCCTGGGGAAACTGTGTATGATTTATAAACTAAAAATGAATTTTAATAATTTATTCAATATAAGTAATTAATTTTCATTTTATTTACCTGACTAATATTTATAACATTCATAAGGATTTTTATTATTGAGTTGATTATCTTGATCTTTCAAAATTTAATAAATATAATGTATTGTTTCTAAATAAGTAAATAACTTCATTTTAAGTACTTTATTTAGTCATATTGAAAATGTTTAACAAAATTACATAGTCATAAAATTATAATGTAATTTCATAACAAAAGTTAATGTTTTTATTATATATTATATATAAACCAATTTGTACAAAAATTAAGTTTAAATTTTCATCAAAATCATCAAAATTATTTTGTGGAATAATTTTTACAAAAAAAAAAATAAAAGTTAAAAAATGCCTAAATTATTTATACTTCATAATTTACAAATTGAGATTAAAATTTAAAAGGGTTTGAAGACAAACAATTTAATAAAATTAAATAATTTTAAATTATTAAGTAATTTAATGTTTACTTATTATGTAAATACAATTATAAATATATTTTTAATAAAAGTTAAATTAATGTTCAAAATTTTAAATCAATCATCATTAATAAAACAAAATTAAATGCAAATTTTATAATTTTTACTTAAAGTACATAGTTTTTAAAGTTAATTTTGTTATCCTATTTAAATTTAATTTATTTTCTTAAAAAATGATAATTTTATTCGTCAATAGTTTATTTTCCTTTTGATAAAATATTAGTAAATTTTTTCAAGATTTTACATGATTTAATAATTTTTATATATATACTATACCTGAAATACATTCTTGAAATATTTAAACTTGGTGAATCAATCATTGAGTTAATAATATATGTTTTAACATTCCTATCATTTTTTTATTGATTTATATTCCCTATTTTATTATATTTAATTTTATTATTTATTAAATAATCATGATTTTAAAGTCGATCTTTATATATTTACAAAATAACTAATATTATTAAATTACAATTTTATGAACAATTTAAATTCTTATAACATTAATATTTTTGGTTCAAAATATACTATATTTATGACATTGAATTAATTTTCAGGTTTCCAAATTTTATATACTCAGTGTTATGGGAGATTATAGAACTTGATCTGGTTGCTTTAATAACAAGACAATTTTGAATATTTCAATGCGGTCCACTACTGAGGACAATATGAATTCACTAGCACCACAACAATATTGTTTACGGTGGAAATATCATCACTCAAATTTACAAGCAATGTTCTCTCAACTTTTAGAACGAGAAAGTTATTGTGATGTTACATTGGCTTGTGAAGGAAAAACTCTAAGAGCTCATAAGGTATATTCGTACATATATGTATAATTTTTATAAAGAAAAAAAAATTTTATTGTACTTGTATAAAAGAGTAAATTTTATTTTATTTTAATTTCTAAAATAATCTATATTTCTATATTTCTAGGTTATGCTTTCAGCCTGTAGTACTTATTTTGATTCTATACTATCTCAACACGATGAGGATAAAGCAATAGTTATTCTTAAAGATGTTAAGTTCTCTGATATTCAAGCACTAGTCAGTTTTATGTATAAGGGAGAAATAAATGTTGAAAATGTAAGTTATAAGTTTTATCCATAATTTTTATTAAGATTAATATAATTTTCTCGTATTACATTATTTATTCTAATTTTAGACCGAGCTTTCATCACTGTTAAAAACTGCAGAAGAACTTAAAATTAAAGGGTTGGCTGAAGTCTCATGGAGATCAGATCAAGATCAGCAAAATCAAAATCTTAATGTAACTACTGACGAGTCAAATATTAGTAAAAAAAGAAAATTAGATACAGTAACACCTACTACTACTGCTAATATAAAAAAAGAATTTATAGAGAAACAAGTAATTGTTGTAAAACTAAAATATATTTGTTGTTATTATTGATTTTTATGATTAATATATTTAGGAAACTGATGATATGGATGTAGCAGATATTGAAAATGATTCTGAACCAGATCAATCAATCTGGGAACCAGAAATGCAACATGTTGTTGATACAGACAATGTAGAGCTTTCTAAAACAACAGTAAGTCAATCTCCTATTATATGTTTGAGTTTCTAAGAGTAATAAAATGCGAAAGAAGAAGAGTTTCTAAAATTAATGAATATGAATTTGAATTGTTTGGTTGTATATAATATTTATGTTACAACGTAAAACATAGTAGGTATTACCTACTTAGGTATAGTATAATATGCCCAAGTATAATTTTAAATGGAAGTTTATTAAATGTTAACTAAAAACTTTATTTATAAGTGTATGTTTCTAAAATCATTATTCCTGAACTCAAAATGTACAAAAAATAAACTAAGTTATACATTTTAATTTATAAACTTAATTTTAAATCTATAGATTCATACTAAAATTCTAATTTCCAATTATAAACTAATGTTGTATTCCTGTGTTTATTAAAATATTAGTCAACTAATATTTATTATAAAAAATAGGATATGTCTATTATATGAATATTGTGTATTATAATGTACAACTTACTATATATAAAACTATTTAGACTCTTATTTTTTTAAATTTTTTTATTTAAGACTGGAAATGTTAATGTAACAACTTTTTCATCTGAAGAAGATAGAGCAAACAGCACTAGCGGTGCCAATCTAGGGTTCAGTGAACAACCAGCACATGCTCCTGGTATAAACAAACTAATAACACAAATTATGTTAAATTAACATTTTTATATTTTTATATAATTTTTTCTATTATAGATCTAAGTCAATATTCTGATGTAATGAAAATGAATGACTATCTAGAATCTGGTGGTCGCCGTCCTCAGTTTTGGGAAGAACCTTTTACTAAAAGACTTATGGAAGCAATAAAAAATAAAGACCTAGAAATGAAAGTAGCTGCTGAGTTAATGGGAGTATCTTATGGAACTTTATATGGACGATACCGAGATGCTTACGGTTGTCTAAAACATCCATACAGGTAATGGAGTAACTATATTTTATTTTGATTTATTAAATGGATTGATATTCTATAGAGTTCGAGATTTTTGGTTGGAACAAGGTCCAGCTGATGTATTAGCTAAATTGCAAAGAAAAGAATTAACCCTTTTTCGAGCAGCTGAAATTCTAAATGTTACTGTAACAACTTTAGCTAATTACTTGTCAACAATGAGACAAGGTGATAATTCACTTACAGTAGCTTCTGCTACAGTAAGTGCTAGTGATAGGTCAACTTTTAGAGTTGATGTTATGTCTGAAAGTGATAGAGAAGAAGGCTCTGAAGAAGAAGAACACGAAAATAATGATGAAACTGATATTATAACAAATAGTAACACCCAACCTCAACAAAATATACCAGACATCACTTTTGTACCAGCGCCAGGTACAATGTCTAAAGTAAATAATCTAAATGGTAACTAGCGTTATAATTGTATAAATTTACAAAAATATAGTTAACCTGTTATAAGTTCTAAAAAATTTAAATGATATCCTAAAAAAAAATTTCTTTTTGTTTTGTTTGTTTTATTTTTTAAAAAAATTTATTTTATTTATTTATTTTTATTTTATTTTATTATTATGATTTTATTTTTTGATTATTTATCTTCAATTATCTATATATGTTTGACATTAACATATATATTTATTTTCTTAATATTTTGGATCACTGTTGGAAGATATTTATTTTATTCTAAACTAACTAATAATAAAAGAAAGCCTGTAGGTTATTACATTACTAAAATTGGTGCTAAACTAAAATACATTCTTCCAATTAGCTCTCTAGTATCAAACTTTTCTATGAAAATTAAATTCATTATTATTATTTTTTATTATTTTTATTTTTATTATTACTATTATTTTTATTATATTATATATTTTATTTATGTTGTTGTCTATAACAATAGTTATGTTTGTAGATGCATATATCTATAAGATATATTATTTTTATCGTTTTAAATTATTTATGTTTCTTATTTACTGGTGGGTGATTTGCCAATTACGATAATTGGTATGCACTTTGAATTAAATTTTTACAAATTCTGGTCATATTATTCATAAATTATATTATTATGTTTTATAAGTTTCTAACTTAACCCTATTTATTTCATTATCAGCGAAGTAAAAAAGTAATTCTAAGTTTGATCAAATAGCTATTTAGATAGTAGTTTAAATACATACAATTTTTACATAAATACTATTATACATTTTATATTATTAAAATAGTATAGTGTATACAAAACATATTGTGATTTTATTGGGTGTTTATTATATAACTTAATTGCATGTGCATTTTTATATATAAATATGTGTATCATTTGTGTTATGTTATCATTTATGTATTCAATAAGAATTAGTGGATATACATGGAATACATAAATATAAAATATTTTCTAACTATGTTTGTAACATTATTATTTTTTTATACTAAAAGATTGATCGAACATGAAATAAAAATATTAAGGTATCTTTAAAAATATTAGTGAATTGTTTACTATGGGATAGAGAGTTTAATATAAATTATGATAATCAATTATTAATTCAATATTTATATTTAATTTTAAAATCAATACTCCTAATAAAATCAACTACGTTAAAAAAAAAAAAACTGAGACACATAGTAAGTTAATTAAAATGTATACCAGTTAAATGTTTTTAATGAAATGAAACATTTTTAATTGTATTATTGAATGATATAAAATTCTCGGTTTTGAAATATATTATACTTTTTTATATATTTCAAGTTATAAATAATTAATTATGTATATAATTTAAATTTAAAAAAAGAATGTTACGAGTTATTATAAATATAAAAATGTATATTATCTTGTATATAATGTGTGATAGCAACAAATATTTATTATTTTGTGGATTAACACATTGAAAAATCCTTTTAAGTAATTTTTTTAATCACTTTATTCCATATAATATAAAAGTATAAGTTTATTTTGATAAATTTAATGCTTTAATTTTTAGTATAATAAATATCATCACTGAGAATTTTATACATGTAACTTAATTATAAAAGAACATATAAATGGACAAAATTACTCTTGACATTTTACTGTGCAATATAAATCATAGTCCTATTTAATAGTTTTTAAGTCTGATCAAGAACATTTATTTACCAGAATATTTATAAATTATTTTTAATATTATTATTATTATTATTATTATTATTATTATTGCTGTAAATATATGATATATTACAATTATAATCATTGTAATATAAACAGTAATATTGTTTATTATTTTTATATAAAAAATTTAATATTAATGTATGTAATAAAATTAATTAATTATCTTTAATAAAGACTTGAAACCCTCAAGATTAGCCGAATATTGATTATCTAGGAGTTTAAACACTATTTTATGGTTAATGGTTATATATATTATGTGTAAATATACAATAAAAAAATATGTATGATAGATTTATAGGTCTACCTCCTAAACTTGTTATAAATAAACATAATATATTATTTCACAATGCCGTATAATTTATGCACTTAAATTATTTGCAATACACAATACAAGCTTATAAATTTTTTTTTATTGTTTCACGTGTTCCTAGAATTTAATTATTATAATTTTATTTAAATTAACTTATAATAGCATAATTGAGTGGCTGAATAATTTTTTATTTCATTTTCGCACCAAATATTTGTTTCAATTTATAAATTATATAATTTTAATATATTTTGACTTCAAAGTATCAGACTTATTAATAATTATTTTATTTAGAAAAGTTTTATTCAGTCACATTTTTAAGTTAACTAATTTATGTTTTATATTATTTCAATAATTATTATTTAAGTGGTGAATTTTTTTACTTTTATTTTATTATTATTTATTATTTTTGACTTTTACAAGTGAAGAGTAAAAACCAACTTGGCCACTTATTCAAGAGTCAGGTACGTTTTAATATTTTTTTTTCTAAGCACCTCATTTAAATAACTGATTTATGTTACTTAATGTTCCAAAATTCAATAAATAATAATGATAATAATAATAATAATAATAAGTCTTTTCCCTGGAGTATAGTCTGAATATCTAATTTTATGTATATTGATATTGCAATCGTAAATATCTTAAATGTATTCAAATATTTATTTATATTTTTCAAATCTATTATTCACTACTTATAACATTGATTTAATTGGTTAAGTTTTTTTTAATTATTTTATTTTTAAAATATTTTACATTCACCATGATATTTATCAATGGGTTTTAATGAAAAAAAAACTGTATTTAGCACTTACTCAAAAGAATTTAATTATTAATTTTTTAAATTGTTAATGATATAACTTAGAATTATTATTGGAATCTATACCTTTGGATGAGTTGGCATAATAAATCCAAGTTATTACTTAATTAATATTTGTGACTTGATTTGATGATATTGTAAAAGTTATTATTTTTTTTTTTTTGTACCTAATTGTTTTATGAAACTGTAACGTTTTCGCAAGATATTTATAATTTTATAAATCTATTAAATGTGTACTTATATAGTTAAAAAATAAATGGAATTTTAAACTAAGAATAAAAGAGTATTTTAATATTCTGGTGATTGATTGTAAAATATAAGGTATTACAAACTAATTAAGAATTATCATAATAGTGCATTTTTCCTCCTATAGGTGTAATCCTTCAAGGTTTACATTTTAAGTGTTCTTATTTCCAATGCTGTTGTTCTTGTATATTTATATTTTATTTATTCAAAACTCTTGAGTAAATAATATATATCTTATATATGGTCAATCCTAGATATAAATTGTATATTTTGCTAAAGAAATTAATTTAAGAAATTTTCCAAAAATGAATTGTTATTTTTCATTTGTCTTTTTTTAATTGATATTTAATGAAAAATATAACATTTCAATTGCTACCTATTTAAAACAATGTTTTTTAGTTAACTTGGTTTTTACAAAAATGCATAAATTTATTAGATCAGCGGTTCTCAATCTTTTTAGTACCATGACCCAAATTTCTCCCAAAAAATTTTTCGCAACCCATATAATTTCACTCTTCAAATAGAAGTAAAAACACAATTTGTATTATATAAAGATGTATACATTTTTACTAGGTATTTAGTATTTTATAGGTTTATAATTAATATATTTTTACAAATGTACTTTAATAATGGAGGTATATGCGAAATATGTGCTTATTTTTTGTTATGGTTAACAACAGCATTGACATCGATGTCAATTTTAGTTATTTTCAAACGTAAAGAGTTCGATAAATTTATCTTGTTCCGATGTTTGTTTTTGATGCCCACCATTGCCGAAAATCCAACTTCTTACATATATGAAGATAAGAATGTGAGTAGTATTTTTATAGCTTCAGTTAAAAGAATTGGAAATGATTGTTGAGATGACTACTAAAACTGAATCACATTGCGGCTAAATTGAAGTTTTAAAGATGAATTTTTTGATAAATCGATGAGTTTTTCATTGGCTTTGGTCGAAATCCTACAGCTTCCTGAAACGGATTCACAATCCAGCTATTTTGTTCATATTCTTTCATTTCTTCAAGGAAGTAAAAATTCAAATGATTTTTCAACGAAATCAAATGCAAACTGATGTGGTTAATTATGTCTTCAGCTAATTTTATATCATTTTTAGTTATGAAAATTTGAGATGTTTCAAAGCAATCATAATTTTGCTTTTTAGTGTTGTTTTGCCATAAAGTTTTTTCATTAAACCTTTTATTTTGTTATGAACCGCAAATTTATCGGCTCCTTGTATTCTTTGTAAATATAAATTTAATTCGTTAAGTATACTGATTAATTTAACTTAATTTTTTAGAATTAATATAATTCAAAAAATGTTCGTGAACCACACTTTGAGAAACACTGTATTAGATATATTGCTATGTTCTAGTTGATAATACAGTATAAACTCGTTTAACTGTTTGCAATTGGACCAAGCCTGTGATGTATAATTGAATGAGACATGTATAAGTAAAAATACATTTTTATTTATAATTATTAAATCGGGCCCTCTTCCCTTTGCAATTATTTGACCAAGACCACTTATAAGCATAGGCGTGTCAAGACTTCGCAGAGGGTGAAACCCAAACCAGTGCTGGCCTTGGGGGGGGGGGGGGGGGCAAGCGGTGCGACTATACCGGGCCCCGCGCTTATATGGGGTCCCACTGGGGTATATTTATGGAGGGGCTATGGGGGCTTCAGCCCCCCTCCCCGAAATCCAGGAATTGTTTATTAAGTCTGCTTATTATGTCCTATCAGATGTAAATTGTAAAAGTTCAATATTATTTTATAAAGAATTATTAGTAACAACGAACAAGTTATCATGTAAAGCAGGGACGCCCACAGAAATGTAGCTCAGGGGGGGGCAAAAAAATTGTAAGTACCTTAATACTTATAGGAAGATTTACTGCTACATATTTCATCTACTCATATTTTGTATTACTATTATTAAAAATTTTTTAAAAATCAAAACTCATTTAAGTTTATATAAAATTACATTATT